CTTTATATATAACATGCGTTTTTTTTATTAAAAAAAATAAAATAAAATAAAATAAAACTAGTGTCAATATATCTTACATTCACCAATACTCTCAATGTCATTTTCAACTTACGTCTTGCATTCACTTGGTGATTCATTTTTTTTTACCATGTTATTGATAGTAAGGTAATTTTTTATTTGATTATTGAAGTTGTCCTATGCGTATGCCGTATCAAATTATGTGTTCTACAAAAGCCTCGTTGGACTCGTGAATCCTTGACAGGTTCGCTGATGAAAGTTACCATGATCCTCGCTTACATAGAAATAATATTTAACACTTTCCCAACGCATGTTATTTGCTGTTTCTAGTGAATGCTTATACGTCATTTTTTATTGCAAGATTGAGATGTAATATTAGCCAAATAGTTAGCTATTTTGGAGAATGCATTTCACTCTAGCCAAATATAGCTAGCAAGAATAGGCTAGCCATTTCATTTTTTCTACTATTTTATTCTTTCAAATAGTTATAAATGCAAGGCTTCTTTTTTAAGTTCAATAGAGTTATTTATATTTTAAACCAATAAATATTAAAATATTCTATGTTTAGCTAAAATAGAGAGTGTGTTTGGAGGGGCTCTCTCAAATGTTGCTAGTTAAAATAGCTTTCTAGCTATTTTATTTTAACTAAAATTTAGCTAAAATTTAGGGAGTTCCATTGGAGATGCTCGTATACTTTGTTTCAACTAAAGGAAATTGGATTCATTTACTTGTTGGTTCTATTTTTCTGTTTGAGTTGCGAGTAACTCACCAGTTTAAACACACTTGTGTGAAGTCCAAACTCCAAATCTGCAGGAAATGTTTTGTGTAAAAGCATTGTTCTTTAACTAAGCTAGAATAGCACCTAAGTTTCATGGAATCTTATTATTAGGAACCTAATAGCTAGTTAGTTGGCTTTGTGGCTTTGCTAGTTGTTTCTATTGTTGAGTAGTCTTTTAGGAGTATAAATAGGGGGTTTATGGCTGTAGAGGGTTTATTTTGTGATTTGTGAGCATTTTGGGAAACTTTGGGAGAGCTGTTGGTCTCTCGAATATCACCTGAGTTGGGTGTTCTCTGGAGTCCTAGAATACTCTAGTCTATCCATTTCGTTTTCTTTAATTTTCTCTTGCTGGTTTTGGTTTGTAAGATCTGGTGTTAAAGTTAATCTCAATAAAAAAATTCCTTTTGTTTGCATACAATCGGGTGTTTGGCTGCTTGTGTATGTGAGTATTTGGCTATTTGGTTGAAGAAATTAAATTATCAGGTACTTAAAAGGTGTAAAAGTGGTAAATTGATATAAATTTAAAATATGCTTGAAACGCTTGAATACGACACATCTTTTCCTTCTATGGTTGTTGATTTCATGTCATATCCGTTTCTTATCGATTAAAGGGAACCAATTTGTTTATGTAATTACTTGTGTGTTTGTTTATTTTTTTGGTGGAACTGACTCAATTGAAAAACTGCATGAAAGGCTGTATTCTCCTCGCTTAAAGCATTTGTGCTTTTTATACGTTTATATAGAATTGTCGGATATATATGAACATGAAACATGTGATCATGAGATGTTCTCTTTTAGACATTTATTTCCTGCTCCCTATTTTTTCAGATGCAATGTGACTACTATTCTCCACAAATTCTCATCTTCTAAAATGATATGGAAAAGAATGTAAATCATGCTGTCAATCTTCTACACCTAGATACATTGTGCACCGTGAGTTGCTCTCTTTATATCAAGTCTTTTAGATTCGATGATACTATAAAGTGGAATTTTCATCTTATAAAATTGCTGTTTTAAAATGAAATGTAATTGGTGTTTTAGAGCCATATACATCGTGTGTACTGCAAATTCTAGCCCTCTTTATCGTCTTAAAATGATATTATGAAGTGGATGAGTTATCAGGTTGATAAGTTCTCTTCAAGTCAGTTACACTATAAGAGATGCATTTATCCTAGTTCCAATTTCTAAGTCACTAATTCAGGCTTTCTTTGAAGAGATTATATGCCAGAGCATACCAGCCAAGCTATATGCAGGTTTTAAGTCCATTGGCTTTTTTACCAAGGATCTATATATATGTTTGTTGGATTTAATGGGAAAGGTCACAAGTCCATTGTGATATATATATATTGTTTGAGGGGTTGAATGGGGAAGAGATAGCTACTTTCTATTGTTGTGCAGAAAGCCTAGAAGAGAAAAGGCTGAGAACTCCAGGGAAAGGTCAATTAGTTAAGCGAAAGTAAACTAGAGAAAAGGTTGTTTGTGTGTGTAAAAGTGATTTTCAAACGTTAAATCAGTTAATTTTAGGCACTTCTGCGTGCTCATCTATGAGTTTTCTGGTCTAGAACTTACTGTTGCTATTTAATGTTGTGAAAAACTCTTCACAACTCTACTCTACTTCGTTAGTGCACATGCGCTGGACGGTGCTTGTTTTTATGTCGCTTGTCATCTCATTTATCCTAGTTACACTATAATAGCATTCTCATTTGTTCAGTCTGTATATTCTTTTAGAATATGGTTTTTGAAGAATGTTTCATATATGTATTCCGTGGTCGGTGTATGACCTTTGTTGATTATTTGCACGACTGGACTGGATTTTGTGTTGTAGAGACAAGTCTTTTCTACTTGGTGTGAATGGTGGCTTCTGCTGTGCATGTGTGTTTTGAACCGCTTCACTTTAATTGGCAGTAGCATCTCCAGATTAATTTCTTTATATATTTATTTATTTATTTATTTTGCTGAGAACACAATTCGAGAGAAAATTGCCAGCACGCTGTTTATACAGATTGTATGTATAGCTATCTATATGCATGTATACATTATAGTGGCACGGTGTTCATATTTTAAGATTGCTTGCCCCATTAGTTGACTGGTTGACTTTTGCTTTTTCTTTTTTTGTTTATATTTGTTTACTGTACTTTTTGTTGGATGGTTTTGGAAAGGGAAATAACTAAAAATACCACTCAAGATGTTAAAAAATATAATTTGTCACTACACTTAAAACTTAAAAATAAATAATTGCCATTTATTAATAACTGTTATTCAATTAATAGAGAGAACAAATAGTTATAATGACATATAATTATTTAAAATGATATAAATAATTTATTTAAAATGACATAAATAATAGGTCTGTACAAAATTATCATACAAATCATGTATTTTTCTCTTTTATAAAAGCATAATCCTGCATTCTCTGTAGGGCTTAACGGAATTGGATAAGATAGTTTATGTAATAATTAAATTGGATTAATTGAGCTTCTAAGGACTCTGGTTACCCATTTGAGGGGCTTTGATGTGGTTGGACTTTACCAGTTTGCTTTTGCCTTGCAATGGATGTACATAATTATCTTATTATTTCCTTTATATCAGTTAATTTCTGCTCTTGACGTCGGTATTGCACATTACAATAACACCGGTTTCTTATTATTATTATTATTATTATTATTATTATTATTATTATTATTATTAACGATGGGTGTTTTTGCTAAAGACCAAAGATCGTTGTTAAAATATCATTATTGTTTCAGTTGGCAAAAAAGGAAAATGTCATTATCATCGTCCTTTTTCATGTAATGAATTCCTTTCAAAAGAGGAAAAGATGTCGTAATGGGTTTTTGACGAAATAAAAAATAATAAAATAATAAAAAAATAAAAAATAAAAAAACTCAATGACGTGAATTATGTGGGGTATCCAACATAATAAATATTACGCAGGATCAGTAAATAACTGAGTCATCAAATATAGTAATGCAATGAATGAGCTTCGTACTCTGAAAGAAAAAAAAAAAAAAAAAAAAAAAAAAAAAAAAAAAAAAAAAAAAAAGAAAGAAGAAGGAAACAAAAGTTTTTCTTACAACATAATTTGGATTTGTACGTAATTCTTTCCTGTAAAAGGATCTGTACTTGGTCCCCACTTTTATTTCTCTATATAAATATGAAAATGAATGTCTGCCCGTACTAAGGATAATAAGACATTAGAATGTTGCTGCCCCCCTCTATTCTTTTCTAAAGGAAATAGATAGACCGAGAATCATGAACTTTGGTACGGATGTGTAGAAAATCCTTGGCAAAAAAGGGGGAAAAAAAAAACTTGTATTGGATGTAGCATAAGAGGTGTTGGATTATTACTATTATTATTATTATTATTAACCCCCGGCGCTTGTCATTTTTAATGTGATCACACCCGTGATGATACTATAATTAAATTTAAGTTGTTGTAAAGTTGAGGTAGGAGTTTATCCGCTAAATTTTATAGTGACCTAGGCTTTGTTTTATTTTTTGGCCTATTGGCGGTAACACATTTTAAAAAAAGTCCGTTAATTCCGAACTCTTATTATTTGACGGATGCTGACATACTGAATATTGATATCTCCGAGAACTGTATTGTTTGTTTTTTTTTTTTTATTTCACACCCAATTACTAAAATAGCAGCGATTTGTTGGAGTATGTTGGATAACTGCAATGAAGTGTATTTGTTATGAAGATTAACCAAGCGCTAGAGGAAAATGGGATGTAAATTGTGCGTTTAAAACTCGTTTTAAAATGATCTTAATTTTTGTATGAAAATGAAAACGAAAACGTTTTTAATCTCATATAAAAATTATTTTTGAAAATGCGTTTAATAATTTTATCAAGAGATTGTTTTCAGTGTAAAAAAACTCATTAATGTCTCTTTCTCTCTCTGTTCGGAGAAAATGAAAACAAAAAATGAAAAATAACTAAAAGTCATTTTTCATTTCTCTCATTTTATACTAAACTAAAAAATCGTTTTCATTTTCATTTTTTTTTTTTGTCTTTATTACACCAAACGCAATTTTAAAAACGTTTTTATTTTTTTCTCGAAAAACGTAAAAAAACAAAAACAAGATCAATCTCAAACAGGGCCAAAGTGTTTGAATGGTGAAGGAAAATAGATGGTAGAAATAATCTCTTATAGATCAACAAAAAATAAAACACGAATTCCCGCATACATACATATGACATATCATGACAAGAAACTGCAAACAGCTTGAGGGATGATAATAATCCCCAAAAGAATGCCTGTGAACGAGTAATTCTCCTTGACGAAGCCTACTCCGTATTACATGAGCTACATATATAACCAATACAAAAGAAACAAAAAAAAATGGGGGAAAAAAAGAGACGCAAATTTATGAAATAAACAAATAGACAACGTAACTAAGGATACAAGAAACCGTTGTAATTACAGACATTCACTATCCAAATCGCTTCCTTTTCCATGACACGGGACGTAATAATCGATCATCGATGCAACTTTCAATGATGCATCCCTACAGAAATTTCTGTTTCGGCCAAGATAGAAGAAAATTTTTTGGCAGGTCTCGTAGTTCAAACAGAGGGGATGTCACCAGTGGTCACAGTATTATGACCATTGGTTTCCTGAGTGGTATCTGGCACCTGAGGTGTAGCCTCAGACGTTTCCACTTTACTTGTAGGTGATTCCAGAATGCCATCCGCAGGAACAACCTGATCCGAATTACTTGATTGAGCAGGATTTGTATCTGCAGAAACAGGTTCTCCTGATTCTGGTTGTGGCGCGGCAGTTGTTGGGGTTGATGCCTCATCTGCTGCAGTTGATGTTGCTGTGCCAGTAGAAGGCGTGGTGGTTGTCGATGGTGGAACTGTGGTGGCCGTAGCTCCTTCTAATAGCAATGGTTTGCCCGGTTGTTGTGTATTTTGTGTGGTTGGAGCTGCTTTTTTGGTGAGAGAAATAGGAGCATCAAGTGATGGCATACCCGGGGGAAGAATTTCAATTGGAGGCTTTTTGCCTGCTTCTGCCAAACTTGTAAGCTTTGGTTCCTCTAGGGAGGCCAAAAATGCAGCTGCAGCATCCATCTTTGTCAGTGGTGTATGCTCGACCTCCTTTTGCAACATTTTGTTCCATGCCTGAACCAAGCTTTTCAATGTTGGTCGTCCATGAGCCTGAAGATAAATGATGCTGAAGTTAGATAAAAATACAAACTCAAAAATAATACCGTGTCCAGGTCCAATACAAACTCAGTACAAGACGTCATACATGGGCATGAAGCACTGCCTCAGCAAGCATTCCTGTGTCCTGCCATGCCTTCTCCATAAGGGCATTGTCCCCCAAAACAGCAGCTGAAAATGCGGCTTCACGTCCCAGGCCAAGTGAGATTAAATTGTTAACCAAACCCTGCAGATCACGCAGTTGCTTTTTAAGAGAGTGATGTGGATATTAGTTTTAAGAAAAAAAAAATGACTATTAACCCCCGGAACAACAAATTGTAGAGCCAATATGACTAGTGGCGACAAAATACAGTTATCTCTGCATACTATTTTTGGATAATGGAATTAAGGAGACCACCATGATATCTATATTTCAACCCAAATAATATACAGTTAGTAAGAATTACCAAACAAGTGGCAAACTAATATGCCACATAATCAGAATCAAAGTTTCGGGGAAAAAAGAAAAATCATAGGCAACAGTGCACAATAAAAATTTTGAGAGTAAACAAAGCACTTGGAAATAGTATCAAAGCAAATAAACAGGGAGTAGCATACACTAAGCCGCGTCAACTCCCCATGATTTGCAAGGCGCAGAGCTAGTCCTCTTAACTCATTACCCTGCAAAGCACCTTTTACAGAACCCGCAGCAGCCAACCTTTTTAGAGCTTCCCGAGCAATTTCAGCCTGCCCAGTAGCATCTGCAGCATCAATAAGATCCAAAAACTCCTTTGCAAATTTCACTATTCCTTGTACAGCTTCCACCATATTTTCTTTCTTTGCTGTTAAATTGAGGATGTCATTCAACTCAAGTCCCGCATTATCTTGCCCCAGGTCCCTGCTGTTGCTCATGGTAAGAAGGCACTGAAGAGCTCTTTTCAGATCATTGCTTTGCATGGCCAGATCAAACTCTAACCTACAAAAGACACAATGGCAATATTATACTCTAGATATGCATGGACAGCCAACTCGGAGTTCACGAGATTCATAACATTGAAAGGCACATAGTTTCAAACATGCACTTATCATTCAGGGTACCAAAATGGAGCAACTATATATGAGTCGATCATAAGGTGGAGGCGCTATAGCAGCACATTCGAGTTAAATGGGATCGACACAGAATAAAAATTTTCAACAGCATGCATTGAACGTCAAAACAATCAAGAAACAAAGTTAAAGATATTTTACCTCTTAGATATCCCAGGCAAATGAAGTGCTTCAGTAGCATAACCCATACCCAGCATAAATTGTGCTAAATCATCGTGATGTTCTCTCCCAAGCCTACTAGCCCTGTACAAAAGAATAAATACAGTATAAGAAAGGCAGTTAAACATGTAAAAGAGTATCAAGAAAAGATCATACCATTTTACAGCACTAACAGCATCTCCATAAGCAGCAAGACATCGACAGCGAATACCAGGATGGCTTAGGGATAATGCATGGGCACACATGTACCTGCAACAGAAAGTTACCAGCTTCTTCCTTTTCCAGCACAAAAGTTTGAGAGAGAGAAGTTCTCAAGACACTGAATGGGATCAACTTACCTATCTATTAGCCAAAGAACACCATCTCTGACACCTACCACAACCAAAGGACCCACAGGCCGTTTCTGCTCTGTTGGAAAACGAGTAACTGCCACCGATACACCTCCACCGCCAACAGCTATCTCATTAACCTTTCTTTCTTCCATCTCTTTTTGAAACACCGAATCATCAGCATCAACTCTAGATTGTTTTGGCAATGTCAAAAAAGGTGGCACAGAAGGAGCATGCTGGAATGAAGCCAAGCGGACCACCTGCAAAGGAAAATATAAATAACCAATAGAAGCGACTTGATTAAAGATTGATATACAACTCTCAAAATGAGTTGCAAGATAAAATCCAATACATGGATGTTGAATCGACATTCATGCTGCTACCTAGGCTACAATATATGTATGAGTACTGTTTTTGGCCAAAGATTTAGGATCGTAACATCAAAGTTGTATGCTATATAAATTTTCAATGGGGAGAGACTTCCAGGTCTCTATCATCGGCTCAGGGTTGTTCAAAATTTGTCAGAATTTACAGAAACTTAAAATCATGTTGGACGTAAAAGCCAGTCTATAAAATACCAGCTCATTCTTTGCCTGAACAAGTTACAAGTCCGAGCAAGCTCGAGGAAAGGTGAGGGTACCTTTCATGCCAATGAAAGCTTAACATGCAACTCATGCATGAGATTGAGACTCTTTTACCTGTAGCATTGGGGGCCTCAATGCTACCCTTTCTTGAGTAACAGCTTGAGGTCCATCCACTGTGATTAGCGCCAACTCACCATGCTCAGCAACATCTCTCACTTGTGCCTCTCTTAGTTTCATCTCCTCTTTCATCCTTTTTGTTTCAATATCAATCTGTGCAACTCCAGCATCCACAAAAACACATCTGCAGAGGCAAAATATAATTACCGCCACATCCAGCATCAATCCAACTTGCAAATTTAAGTTGGAAAGTCAAAAATTTTGAAAACGGCGTCTCGAGACTTTTATATTAAGCATTATTGTTAATAATCCTTTCTGTTCCAGAAAAGAAATTTCTTTGGTATTTTCAGGATGAGTTGCATATACAAAAGCCATTTTTGTGCATAGTACCATTTTTCATTTCTCCACTATCTTTTCCCATACCGTGTATTGCAGGAATACTTTCTGCAAGAAGAATCTGCTGATGAATTTTCCACTATTTAATAATGGGTGACACTTGAATGAAGTAATTATTGCCAATGTTAATACAATATTGCTTGATAAAGCCACTTTTGTGTGTAGTATCACTATCACTTTTTGTTTCCCCACTATCTTTTCCCATACCATGAAAGAATCTGTTGATGAATTTTCCACCATTAATAATGGGTGACACTTGAATGAAGTAATCTGTGCAATGTTAATTCAATATTGTTTGATAAAACAGAAAGGTGGACTTCTGACTACAAGCAAACGCACGTGTTCAAAGCCTTTCATGGAAAGACTATCGAGAACTTAAAGAATAAACCTAGTATATAAAGAAACATCATAAATTTAACACGGATATAAAGATAATTCATTGACCAATTATTTTATCTTACTCGATTGTAGTAGGTGTAGCAACAAACAGCTGTCTCCGATGCCAAACACCACCAGTAGCATACGGAATTGCAACATCACCCAGGTATCTATATTGTGGTCGCAATGAAGATATGACAATGTATTGTGGATATGCAAAAGCACAATACTCAACAGTCTGATCCCATGCTGTCCATTCTGGCTGAGGAAGAAGTCCACCAACAGGCTGAGAAGTGTCCCAACTGCATGATTAGATAACACATAAAAATGTGACAAAGCCATTAAACATCTTGTCCATCTACTTATAGATCCAATACCACAATATTCAACTGCTAGATTCGCAGCCTATTCATTCTAGCTCATTTCCATTGATAAACAGTGGAAATGAACAACTTATTCCCAAAATGCATGCACGCATACATTAAAATATGTGCAAAATACCTGTACAGCTGAAAGTTGGGCGGTGCAGCCTCTGTTGAAGATCTATGAGAAGAAAATCCATCATCAAAAGTGGCAAAAGAAGAAAGACCACTGCTCCCAAATCCAGACAAAGGCATAGATTGAATTGTAGAAATAGCCGTTGCAGCAACAGGACTAATTCTTCGAGATGATCGGTAGGCAACACCAAGTAATGCCCCTCCATGCAAGCCAATGACCTAAAATGTTTAATTTTCGAGAGAAATCATACCTCAGTTATACCAATTTTTGAATGTCAAAATTCCAAGAACATGTGCGATAGTGTACAAGTAGTTGATCAAATTCATAAGATTTTAGGAACAGAATTTATTAGCACAGTACTCGCTTGTCAAAGATGTCTTCCACTCAAATAATTTTCTTTTTTTGGTGGATTTCAGAGTTTGTAAAAATACACACTTAGATAAATCAGCTGGAGACAAATACCGGTTCGCCGCGGCCGCCTACAGATGTGGAGAATATATTTGATGTCCCATCATCCAGTAAAATACGTACTTGAACATTGGCTGAAGAAGCAGCAGAAGCAGCTGCTGCTGCAGCTTGTGCTGCAGCTGCAGCAGCCTCTTTTGCTTTTCTTGATGAACCACCCTTCGGAATTACAGGAATTCTAGGAGGTAAAGCAGATTCCAATATGGCAAACCTATCACGACATGTATCCCAAGCAAGGAGCCTTGCACTGCCTGAATCAACTATGGTCCAATCACTAACTTTGTAGACAGAGAAGTAAGGAATATCAGGCCACACAATTGCAAGATACCTGCCACCAGATCATTTGAAGGAAGTAACAATATTACAATGCCTGAATTTCAACACCACATATTAACAGATTAAACAGAAAAAATGGTAGCATATTAGTTCAATTTATTCATTGTCGACAAGTAAACGAGAATGAACAATCAGCGTAAAATTCCAGACATGTACAACCATAGTGCATGAGCGTAATTAGTCAAAATGGTTAATACATATTTGACATCATATAAAACTGACCACTGACAAAATGTTAACCAATAATGCTGATTCATAAATGAAGATCGGTGATAGATAAAGTACAGGAACTGCATGTAATCTAGCTAGTATTTTGAAAAAGATGCACCGAGACAATAGCTATCCAACTGTAGTAATAAGCAAGCCAAAATAATGCACTAGAGGCAACTTACTTTCCCGAACTGCTCACAGAGAGTACAGAATATGAATCATGCGGAACAGGGGTACTAATATGCTTTTTTATCTGCTTGACTTGTAACTGTTCTGGTGAATCTCCCCGAATCCTTCCTGTTTCTGATAAAGGGCCATTATTTCCTAGAGAAGGATTTGCTGTCTGGGACAGCTGAAAATTTAGTAGCTTAAGTTCTCTTTCAACAACATAGACAGCAGAATGCTCTCGGCTCCCTGAGGGTGTTGGTAGGGCAGCTACAGCTGGAAGTGATCTAGGATCAAACTCACTTATGATAACACCAATATTGGAGCCAGTAGCAACAAGGTGAGGTTGTAAAGGATGTGCTGTCATGCAATAAACCTGACATAGAACTGACACGTCAAATGGATTTATATTTAAGTTAAAAAAAAAAAAAAAAAGATTTACAGTGAGAAGTAACAATTTTACAATGTGTTGAAGCCGTATCCAATTAAATGGGCGAATTTGTTACTATTGCTAAATTTGATATGTTGTATCTTGCAATCCATATTATGTTAACGCACATCCAGTAGACATCTAGTAGTCAAGATAGGAAAAGGGTCCTTGATGATTATCTATCCAATGGTGCAAGGTTCAGTCGGGAGGCTTTCTACCCGCATAAATAAGCTCAATCATCTTGATGGAGAGGAATTAGTCCCTTTAATCTAGTGCATATAAAAAGACTACAACGTAAAAATTTTAATTATTGATGACACTAGTAACGTGCCATGTGAGATTCAGGGGGTTCTCAGGCAACAAGTCAAATATCAACCAGACAATAAACATAAAGAAATTTCCATAATACGACAACGACAACTATTCTCTCAACACTTCTTTCACTGTAAGGGCTGAAGGTCTGTTGTTGTCTATAATAGACGGAATTAGAAGAGCTTGCGTATCACTTCCCAGACGTGTCGTAGACTCATAGTGAATCAGATACTTTGCAGGCAAAGCAGTTTTGGCAACCATAACACAGTTAGAAGGGAGACCTAATAGCTCATCAACTAATCTAGGTTCTTTAGTCTAAGGGGTGGTAAACAGTAGTAACGTAAAACCAGAAGGGGAAAAACACTTACCCTAATTTTCTTGTTAGGTGCAAGTACTTGCGGAGGGACTAGAGAGGATAGTTCACACAATGGCCTCGTTAAAGCTGAGTAAGTGGGATGTTCAATTGCCCTGACAAAGTTTCAGAAAATTATCTTGATGTTATTTTGAGATACAAGAGAAATGGAGGGGAAAAGGTCTATTGCTCTTGTAAGCCGAAATTCACATATCCGCTTCTTAGATCCACTATTTAACAGCAAAACAAATAAAAAGAGAAAAGAGGAATATATAAATAGAGAGAGAGAGAGAGAGAGAAATTGTAACTCGCATTAGTACAATAAAAAGTTTTGCATACCATATATGGGAATCTTTAACACAAGTTAATATATCAAGATTTGGGGCCCGAGGATGGGACCAAGATGCCACACTATGACAAGCCAGCTTAGGAACAGGTTTAATACGTCGCAGTTCCTGAGGAATATAGGCAGACAAAAAACTATTAAGAAAAAGCTGGAAAAAGGAACATGCCTAAGCTTCTTATTCAAGTAGACGAGAATGGTTCTTTGTGAATCAAAGACTCTGGAGTAAATAGAACACCTTAAAAGATATTGTGTCCCATATAGCTAATGTCTTATCTGCACCAATTGTAACAAGCTGTGGAGCACCTCCAATAACTCTGGAAAGCTCAACAGCCACAACACCACCATCATGTGCCTACAAGTATCATGAACAATCACGCACAATAAAACCAAAATCAGGAAATACAAGAGAAGCCATGCTGCATTATGCAAAAAGCAAAGATCACATTAAACTTCACTTATGACATTGAAAAAAAAAATAGAATGAACTGGGATAGATTTGGACAAATAGCTGGAAATAGAAAATTAACAAAAGCCAACACAAATAATATTCTTCCGTGGAAACACTATTAGATACGGCATGGACATCGTGGGCATCGCATACTATATTCTCATGAAAAAGGGGCTGTTGGACCAACTCAGTCTATGTCAAATTCCAACAAAGTGATTTCCTTGCATGAGATTTAAAGAAAAACTTGACACCATGTTAACAAACCAAATACTTAAAAAGTTACCAAGTACTAAAATTTGAAAGAAATCTTTCAAAAATTATCAAGAAAGAGCCAAACCTTTAAGCTTAGCTTAGGTACTAGTTCTCGAGAATCTTGACTGTGATCTGCACTCCAAAGAACAAGCAATCCATCGCTAGCCCCCGAAACAAGAAGTGCCTGTGATCAAAATACAACTTGAGAACACAATTAATTGTCCAGAAAATGAACCTTAAAGATAGCAAGGAATCATGCTAAGAGTATCCTGTACAGAAGTAGGTATTTTTATGTTTGCCTGTACATATGCAAGAATGAAATTGTGACACCTTACACTTTATTTAGATTTTATGGATTTGTTTTAAAGATGATCAGGCATTGAAACATGGTTCTTCAGCTAAAGTGAAATTAATTTTTGAAAGTTTCTGAGGAAAAATATAAAACCTTTCTTGATTTAATTGGTAGAAAACCGGAGTATAAATAAGTGTACAACAGACCTAGGTCCCGTGGCTAACAGAATCGGGAAACTAGGAAACCTAATAGGATAGGGAAACTATCCTCAAGATATTCCTAGGATCTTTCCTAAAAAATAGGAACTGCCAGTTTAGGAAAGATATGTTAGCTATTCTAATTTAAGTAATATCTCCTAATTTAAGCAATATCTCCTAATTAATGTACATAATTCAATACTCCCCCTCAAGTTGGGTCATAGATATCTCTTAAACCCAACTTGCTAATAAAAGATTCAAACCCTGGTCTAAATAACCCCTTGGTTAAAATGTCAGCTATCTGTTGAGATGTTGGCAGGAAGGGTAAACACACAGTTCCGGATTCCAGTTTTTCTTTTATGAAATGCCGATCTATCTCCACATGTTTGGTGCGATCGTGTTGAACAAGGTTATTAGCAATGCTAATAGCAGCCTTGTTGTCACAGTAAAGCTTCATTGGAGCTTCTATTGTTAATTGAAGATCTCCTATAACTCGCTGCAACCAAATTAACTCACATAGCCCATTAGCCATTGCTCGAAATTCTGCCTCTGCACTGCTACGGGCAACAACACTTTGCTTTTTTCTTCTCCATGTAACTAGGTTTCCCCACACAAAGCAACAGTATCCAGTTGTAGACCTCCTGTCAGTCACGGATCCAGCCCAATCAGCATCTGTATAGGCTTCAATTGTTCGGTTGTCATGTTTTCTGAACATTAATCCTTTTCCCGGAGACCCCTTGAGATATCTAAGGATTCGATAGGCAGCTTCGATATGAGTTTTCTGAGGAGAGTGCATAAATTGGCTTATCATACTCACGGCAAAAGCTATGTCTGGTCTAGTGTGTGATAAGTAAATCAACCTTCCAACCAACTTCTGATATCTCGTGGTATCAACACTGTCACCCTCACTATTCCCGAGTTTTACATTGGGATCAATAGGAGTATCAACTGGTTTGCACCCACTCATTCCAGTATCTTAGAGAAGATCAGGTACATACTTTCTTTGGCTGACCATTATTCCTTCTTTAGATCTTGCTATCTCCATGCCTAAAAAATATTTTAGGTTCCCGAGGTCTTTGATCTCAAATTCATTTGCCAAGCCCCTTTTCAACCGAGCCGTTTCTAGAATATCATCACCTGTCAAGATAATGTCATCCACATAGACAATAAGGATGGCAATTCTTCCTTCCTTTGATCTTCTAAAGAAGAGTGTATGACCTGCCTGGGCTTGAGAATAACCTTGTCTCTTTACCGAGCTTGTGAATTTCTCAAACCATGCTCGTGGTGATTGTTTTAGCCCATAGAGAGATTTCCTCAGTTTGCACACCTTTGAACCAAACTTATCTTCAAAACCGGGTGGAGGATCCATAAAAACCTCTTCTTCTAAATCTCCATTTAAGAAGGCATTCTTGACATCTAACTGTTGTAACTGCCAGTCCAAGTTTACCGCAATTGAGAGAAGAACCCGTACAGTATTCAGTTTAGCTACTGGTGCAAAAGTCTCAGAGTAATCTATGCCATAGGTTTGAGTGAAACCTTTGGCCACCAGACGTGCTTTATACCTTTCCAGTGATCCATCAGATTTGAACTTGACCGTGAATACCCATTTGCACCCAACAGTTTTCTTCTCCTTTGGCAAATTTATAACTTTCCATGTCTGATTCTTCTCCAAAGCCCTCATCTCCTCTAAAACAGCTGCTTTCCATTCGGGTACCTGAAATGCATCTCTAATACTCTTTGGAATTTCCACATGTGAGAGTTGAGTAACAAAGGCACGGAAACAAGGAGATAGCTTTTTATAAGAAACAAAATGGGACATGGGATATAGAGGATGCCTAGTGCATTCTCTAGTTCCTTTTCTTAGTGCAAGAGGTAAATCAAGCTCATTTGAGAAATTTTTAGGGATTGGACTCAAACCTGAAACTTCTGGACTTGGTATTGAGGTTGATTCTTGACCATGCTGCAAGTTATTGGTCAATCCACTTGACTTTGGTTCTCTTCTTGAGAAAACTTTCCCAAACCTGTTTTCAGTGTTATTTCTTGTTCTAATTGGACTAACACTGGAAGGAGCCAAATTTTCATTATTTAAAACATCTGCAGAGTTATTCTCTGGATGATTCTCTTCAAAATTTTCGGAATTATCTAAGTTTTGCAAAAAATCCGAATGTTGAAGGGCAAATTCTAATGAAAAATTTTCAAAAAAAGATTCACCTTGATCATGAAAATCAAAGACTATTTTTTCATCTCCCCCTAAAGCCGAATCTGCCTGTGTGTGCTCCCCCTGAAGATGAGGCTGAAAAAATTATTGATTTTCAAAAAATTGCACATCAAAGGTGACAAAATATTTCCTTTTTTTGGGATCATAGCACTTATATCCTTTTTTACTTGGAGAGTATCCTAAGAAGACACACTTAGTTCCTCTAGGATCAAGTTTTCCGAAGTTTACATCTTTATTGTGGATATAAACAGTGCACCCAAACGTTTTCAATGGCAGAGTTGATTGAATTTTTGTTTGGGGAAAAGTTTTGGAAAATTCACTTATAGGAGTGGCAAAATTCAAAACTTTCGAAGGCATTCTATTTATCAAAAAAATTGCTGTTAAAACAACATCTCCCCAAAAAAAAGTTTGGTACTTTGTTGTAAATAACAGTGCCTGAGCCACTTCTAACAAATGCCTATTTTTTCTTTCGGCAATGCCATTTTGTTGAGGCATGTCAACACAAGAACTTTGCTAAAAAATGCCATTTTGTGAGAAAAAAGCACTCAAATGTTTTGTGAAATACTCACGACCATTGTCACTCCTTAAAACTTTAATTTTTGTTTCAAATTGAGTGTAAATCATGTTATAAAACGTTTTAAAAATGTGTTCCACCTCAGATTTTTGTGTCATCAAGTAAACCCAAGTCATTCTTGTGTGATCATCTATAAAGGTAACAAACCATCGTTTTCCCGAAGGAGTTGAAATTCTTGAAGGTCCCCATATATCACTATGCATAAGAGAAAAAGGTTTGGAAGGAACATATGGACGAGAGATATATGGAGATCAATGCATTTTTGCTAAAGCACAAATTTTGCATTGAAAAAGAGATGGATCTTTATTGGAGAATAAACTAGGAAACAAACGTTTTAAATAATAAAAACTTGGATGACCAAGCCTAAAATGCCAAAGCATAATGTCATTCTTACTAGAACTAGAAATAACACCAAAACAAGTATTTGAAACATAATCTTTAGGAAGTGATCCATCGTCAAAGTAGTAAAGTCTACCACTTAATTTAGCATTACCAATCATCTTCCCCGATGCCATGTCCTGAAATTCACAGTAAAATGGAAAAAAAATTAGCATGACAGTTTTGGTCAAGAGTTAATTTACTGACTGACAGTAAATTGCATGACAATTTTGGAACATGTAACACATCCTTCAGAGTTACACATGGAGAAATTTTGATGGAACTCGTCCCTGCTATGGCTGAAAAAGAACCATCAGCCACTTTAAATTTTTTATTTCCTACACAAGGGCTGTAAGAGGAAAATAGATGGGAACAACTGGTCATATGATCTGTGGCACCAGAATCTATGATCCATGGGCCAGAAATATTTGAGGAAGTAAGGGCAGAAGGAGCTTGATTACCTTGGTAAGCATAAGAGGTAGAAGGAGAATTAGAAATTTGTGGAGACTTAAAGAGTTTTAGAAGATGCTCAATTTGTTCCTTGGTAAATGGAGGCTGTACCGAGGTAGATGGTGGCTCTGCAGTAGTCTCAGTCACAGTGTTTAATGCCTTGACTCCCTCCTGTTTGTTCTTCCAATTTGGCTGCCAATTAGGTGGTTTCCCATGAAGCTTCCAACAGGAATCTTTGTTGAGCCAGTGCCGTTTGCAGTCACACCACGGCTTCTTCTTCTTATCTGAGTCACTCTCATTGCCACGGACTGCTAAGGCTGAACTTTCAGGCTCTGCTGGTGGCAAGAATGAACCAATCATGACTCTCTTTCGTCCTTCTTCCTGCCTAAGTTCAGAAAAAACTTCACGGATTGTAGGAAGGGGACGTCTGCCTAGAACACGCCCTTTAACATCGTCAAATCATGCATTATGATGGAACTCGTCCCTGCTATGGCTGAAAAAGAACCATCAGCCACTTTAAATTTTTTATTTCCTACACAAGGGCTGTAAGAGGAAAATAGATGGGAACAACTGGTCATATGATCTGTGGCACCAGAATCTATGATCCATGGGCCAGAAATATTTGAGGAAGTAAGGGCAGAAGGAGCTTGATTACCTTGGTAAGCATAAGAGGTAGAAGGAGAATTAGAAATTTGTGGAGACTTAAAGAGTTTTAGAAGATGCTCAATTTGTTCCTTGGTAAATGGAGGCTGTACCGAGGTAGATGGTGGCTCTGCAGTAGTCTCAGTCACAGTGTTTAATGCCTTGACTCCCTCCTGTTTGTTCTTCCAATTTGGCTGCCAATTAGGTGGTTTCCCATGAAGCTTCCAACAGGAATCTTTGTTGAGCCAGTGCCGTTTGCAGTGGTCACACCACGGCTTCTTCTTCTTATCTGAGTCACTCTCATTGCCACGGACTGCTAAGGCTGAACTTTCAGGCTCTGCTGGTGGCAAGAATGAACCAATCATGACTCTCTTTCGTCCTTCTTCCTGCCTAAGTTCAGAAAAAACTTCACGGATTGTAGGAAGGGGACGTCTGCCTAGAACACGCCCTTTAACATCGTCAAATCATGCATTAACCACTGCTAAAAACATAAAAACACGATCCATTTCTTCCCTTTTTTTAAACCTAGCAAGGTCTTTGGGATTCTCCCATTCGTCATTATAGCAGAGGTCTAATTCCTGCCAAAGTGCCAACATTCTGTTGTAATACGTAGTGATATCTGCCTCCCCCTGCTTGGAATTCCACAGCCGAGTCTTCAATTCAAAGGCTTGTGAAAAATTCTCCAGGTCCGAGTAGGTTTCACGCACGGCCTCCCATACTTCTTGGGCTGACATAAACAGATATGGCTTCCGGATTGATTCCTCCATGGAATTGAGAAGCCACGTAGTGATAGTGAATTTTCATACCTCCACTTTCGGAATGACGGGTCAGATTCCTTCGGCTTTGGTTCCTCCCCTATACGAAACCCTAGTTTTCCTCGGCCATCTATGGCTAGTTTTATTGATTGGGCCCATTCTAGAAAATTCCTTCCATTCAATCGTACGGTAGTAATTTGAATGGAAGCATTAGGGTTGAAATCAACATTATTAGAAGAGGCAGAGGGTACGGTTTGGGTTGAAGGAAGGTTTTCTGGATTTTTGGCCACGGCGGACAGAGGTAAAGTCCTAAACCAGGCTCTGATACCATGAAAGTTTCTGAGGAAAAATATAAAACCTTTCTTGATTTAATTGGTAGAAAACCGGAGTATAAATAGGTGTACAACAGACCTAGGTCCCGTGGCTAACAGAATCACGAAACTAGGAAACCTAATAGGATAGGGAAACTATCCTCAAGATATTCCTAAGATCTTTCCTAAAAAATAGGAACTGCCCCCTAAACTAGGAAAGATATGCTAGCTATTCTAATTTAAGAAATATCTCCTAATTAATGTACATAATTCAATAATTTTCTATAAATCATAAGAAGGCTGAAAGTATGAAGTTATTGATCTGATTAAAGAAAAAGAAAACTTTAGCCTTTTCTTTTATTATTTGCTACCAAGTGTGTTTCACATATAATCAAAGTTAGGAGAATATCATGCGTGTTAGGGTTGAGATTTAATGAATTGAGGAGTAGATTGAGTTTCATTTTCTAGCAGTGAAGATCTACCTCGCCAGAAGAAGCCATGAATGTCATCAGACAAGATATTGAACCTTTATGACCTCCAGTGTATCTTCGCACAAGCTGCAGGAAATGAGTACTGTCACAAAGCTCAAATTACCACTCATAGTTGCTGAGATAGACCAACAATTTTGAAAAATTCCACACCTTCCACGTCATCATTGAAAGTACTCTAATGACACCATCTGATCCACCAAAAGCGACAAGAGGAACATCTCCTGCAGCATATCTAGAAAGGAACTCCATACTGCAAGAGCCAGGGATAACAATGCTAACTGTGATAACAATCATGGTAATAGTAACAAGAAAGGCAATAATAGCACGAAAACAAAGACAAAAAATAAAAATAAAAATAAAAATAATTAGAATAATACAATTATTCAGACATTTTATCCAAGAATTGCAATAGCAAGAAATAAATTATTCTGAATATTCCAAAACAATTTAACTCATGCACCAAGTAGATTAGAGGAGAATGACAAGAAGGCCAAATTGCAGTTGCTAAAAGTATCATAAAGAACAACATTTGTGCCTTATGCACTAAATACCAATTCCATCACTATCCTTGCCACTTCCCAAAGGGACCAAAAATCAGGTAGCCCAAAGAAAGCTAACAGATATGCTGCAACTGCTAAAGTGAAGCAAAGAGATACAAGTCCATTGCCTTGCCATTCAAAACTAAATCAAAAGATTGGACTAGTATCCTTAATGTACAGAGAGTCAGAGGCCAATATTGCATTCTAGGAACCGGATAGTTTTGAAAAACTATCTGCATCAACTAGTATCCCTATGACTTTGATTTAGGCCTCGTTTGTTTCGTTGATTCGAGTTTAGAATTCGAGTTTTGCTACAGTAAAAAGCTCTCACAAACAGTCACATCTAACTTTTTTGCTACAGTAAAAAGCTCTCACATAAAATCACATCTCAACTCGAATTCTAAACTCAAATCAGCGAAACGAACGAGGCCTTAATTTTTACCCTATGATCATTAAAATAAAAATCGTATACAAAAATAAACAGGCAGTTTTTTTTTTTTTCAATTCATTTCTTGATCAGTTGTAAACAAAGATCAAGGTAACCCGTAACTGTCATTTGTCCACAATATATATCTAAATAAAAGCAATAGTGAGGTAAAATAAATATATTCTCACAGCAACGAGTAAATGAATTGAAATCAAGAATAAATATATATGTCCAATTAATCATGATTACCAAAGAAGCGACTTGTTGTCAAGATCTTGCTTTGGTACATCTCGGCCACGCATTGTCACCAAGTCAAGAAAAATGGCTTTATTTTCACAACAGATCACAAGAAAATGCCTTCCTTTTGTTGCAGGAGCTAGGGAACTAAATGCAGAAGTGACATGATTGACAGCTGATGGAGCCTCAGCAGCTGCAGCGCGGTTCCGCCAAAGTTGCCAAAAGCGTACATCATCATCAAAGAAGCTCACCTGCTTAACACTTTTAAGATCCATGTACACACAATCAGATGCTCAGTTTACAACTAAAAAAAAGGTGGCAAGTGGAAATGATAAGAGAGATGAAACACTCAATTACCTCCCTCCACGCATGGCCTCGGTAGGCTTCCCTTTAGGCTCTGTGAAGAATACATCACAGTTAATAGAAAGAAAAAATCAATAATTAACTTCCTTGCAACAAAAAAGTTGCATGGCAGTGGATACTTCATTATTAGCAATGTGTTCGAAGATACAATAATACCCCTTTAAAATCATTTCTAATGAACAGGAGCTCGCTGCCACTCCCCAGACCAAGTTAAATGTTATATAATCTAACAAAACGGGTCCATTTTTAGGTATCTCGCAGTTCTATGCATTGGAGCTCCAGTCCAGCCAAATTAATCTACAACCAAAAATACCTTTGAAATGCACAACTACATCCTTTGCTAAGAACTATCCAATATCTAGTAATTTTGGAGCTACAGACTATATACTTGGCAAATCATAGCCAAATAAAGTGAACCATGATGACCTTTAAATAGAATCCATTCTCAAATTAAAGATTAATATTAGTACTTTTAATTACTATTAGTACTCTACTAACAATTAGCAAAGCATTATGCCTACAGACACAGAAGTAAAATAAAGGGTTACAGGGTAAGTGCGGCATTATTTTTAGACATTTGAACCGTGGAACTATGATCAGATTTTCCGTCCTATATGCTAACTGGAAGTTGCATACATTGCTTCAAAAAGATGTTTGTTGAGCTTCATGAGATAACATCAGAAGCAATATTTCTATTCTTTGTCATCATAGTTAGTAACTGTTGCGCTTGTTAATATCACGTTCAGGGTCATTAAAAGGCCTACCACCTAGCGCTTCAATTCTGAAATAAAGTTTTTTGCCCCCATGTTTTTTCAATAACAATCAGGAATTTACAGATCTGATCTCCAATAAAGTTCCGTAGCATAATTCTATTTGAACAGGCAAGTCAGATTCCTCAAAAATCATTGTCCGACTGATTCCAAGTCCCACATCACCAAACTACGCGTTAAGTCTTCATTCTTATAATATCATAATTTCTAGCCTAGAATTGTCAAATTCACAGGTTTCAAAGTAAATTCGAACAGAGCTCAAAGCAATGGAGATCGCGAAAAGGCGAAAAATACAACCGTACCTGATTCACCCTCGGCAAGCTTCTCCAACTTCGCACCGACCAAACGCCTCTCGTCCACGCCGCCAGCTTTGAGTTCGTAGATCACCTGAGAATCCAAAAGATACCGATATCGATAGAACCGAACGCAAGAAAGAGAGAGCAGGGAGAGACTTCCGACGCTAAGTTCTCAGAATGAAGACTATAGAAAGCGATTTAGTTACCTGGCGATGTTCCCAATTCCAAACGGAAACGTTGTCGGAGGCATCGGCGGTGACCAGCCATGGATGCGTGGGATGCAACTGGATCTTCACGATCTTATCGTTGCTCGGCCTGAATGCCTTTAATCTCAGCATCTTCTAGAATTCTCTTTCTCGATGTTGTTCTTGATGGATCGGCCACAACTTTTCTGCGGATTTCTAAGGAAGTTCTCAGATGCAAGACCACATTTGCCCTAATCTATCTCTGCATATAGAGAGGGAGAAAGAGAGAGAGAGACCCTCTCTGGAGAGTGGAGACTTAGCGGAGCTGAGAGAGGAACAGCGAGTTTCGTTTGGACTCGGTTATTCCGAGATCAGAGAAGCTCTTTTTCTGGTAAAAATGAAATCCCACACCGGCCAAGCTAAAAGACGACAGTTTTACTTTGAAATGGGAGAGAAACTAACGACATCTTTTTGGGGCGCTAAAAGAACACGTTACGTAGTAAAAACGATGTCGTTGCAAAACGAGTAAATAAACGACATTCAGAATAACTAATCTCATAGTGAATCCTATCTTCGTATCATAATTACTCTTCAATTTATAAAATTGTCCTATTAATTTTTTTTTTTAACGAAACTGTCCTATTAAAATTATTTGGCTAAGAATATGTCCAAATATAGATGGAAAATAACATATGAACTTAATAAGGGATTTTTATGGATGGAAAAATAAATGTGAGACGATTTGAATGTTGAATGTCAGTTATCAAAACGGACTTTTTCTGAGTTTGGGGATAAAAATGACTAACCCAAAAATAAATAAATAAATAAACAGGGGGAATAACAATAGATAAAACCACAACAAATATTTGAACGACATGATGTGTAAACACGATACTAAGAAGTGAAACGAGGTCCACTCATAAAAAAAACCTTGACAAATAACATGAAGCAGTAAAACGACGGTACAATAAAAGAAACGGTTATCAAAAAGAAAAGAACAACAATATTTGAGACGAAAAAAAAAAACAATAACAAACGAGATTAACAGGTGAAGAACAAAGAAAAACGACATCGAAACTAACACTAGCCAGTAAAAGAACAAATCAAAATGAGAAGGAAAACGACACCAAACATATTAATTACAATAATATCAGAAAACGTCATCAAATCAAAAACGACAATAATTTCACCGGACCATCTGATTTTCAAAATTTATGAAAATGGTTGCTCGCCAAAAAAAAAAAAAAATGTAAATTAAGAAGGAAAAGAGAATTATTCTTGGCAATTCTGTAACTGTCGACTCAAAAGTTAAATCCAATCTGTAGTCAGGTATTCCTACACATTAGTACTGATTCTCCTGCAGCGGGCTCCTTTTGGCATGTGGATGTTATTGTTGGGAAACAAATCCTACACAATTTGAGTGATATATCTTCTTCGATTGGTACGTTTCTTTTTCTTTTTCTTTTTTTTTGTTTTTTCTTTCCCGATCTCATAATTATGTTTGACACTCATAAATGTTATATGTGAATATGTGATGTAGAACATATATTAACTAAAGCATTGTTGTGTGCGTGTATATTTATATTGGGATAATTGTATAGGTTTGTTCAAACCCAGTGAAGAACATGGCTTGCTGATAAATTAATTTTGTCTTCATTTTAATTATGTGCTTAGAAAACATCACAAGTTACAATAGCTAGGGCAATGCATGAGAAGAATCTGTGGTCCCAGCCTGGCGTCCCCAGCTCAAGACAATTTGGGAACAAAAGTTATGGGGCTGGTTCTGAACTAATTAGAGGTTGATTGGGACAGAATTTTTAACTCTGCATCAGACTGTGTACAAAGCAATGTAAGTTGCATCCAAATTCAGAACAAATTTTAATATAATTAGTGTACAACTATTACACGTATGGTCATGTGAGGGCACAAAAATCTTTTCTGCAATGTCGGTACCTATATGAATAGCAATGTTTTCCTTTTGGGATTTTCAACATCACTTTGCAGATAAATTTTCTATTATCTACATGCAAATAAGATATCCGACAATAGATTCTTCAATGGATTCAGGACTATTATTATTATTATTATTATTATTTATATAATGACTGTAACTTTAGCAGATACAATACTACTTCCAAGTGGACGGCCACTATGTCAAGAATAAACTTAAGCTTGTTCTCCTCCCTTTTCTGCACCGGGTATGTGAATTTTAACTTTAAAAACTTTTTTGTTAATTATTCTGTGTATGACCAAGAACAATCCAAAATATGACTTCTGAATATACATCCTCTTGTCTAGGGGCATTGGACCAGAATAACAGAGGCAGTTGCGGGAAGACTTTCCTATGAACCTCCAACTAATGACATAAATGCTCCAGACTTGTACATCCCAGTCATGGCCTTTGCCACATACATTGTTCTTGCTGGGATCGCATCGGGTCTTTCGGGAAAGTAAGTATTCTTTTTTATGATCTATGGCTTATCCTTTCATGAGTTTTCTTTTGTCCTTTTCTTTTCTAGTATATTAAAGTGTAAATATGTGACCTTCTGACATATTGAAACGACATGTACCTTGACCATTGTGGCGGGACAACTTGAACTTATCACAACTTGTACACTCGACATGAGTCAGCCGTTTTCTTCATTGAGTTGTTAATTTTTCCCAATAAGCACAAATTTGATATCATAGGATAAAATTTAAGAGTCTTTTACTGCAAAAGTGTGACATTCTGACATATTGAAACACATATACCTCGATCATTATGGCAGGACAACTTGCACTTGTCACCACTTGTACACTCAATCCGTGTCAACGGTTTTTAACCGGTCATTAATTTTTCCCAATAATCTCAAATTTGATATCATAGGATAAAATTAGCACAACATTTTTGCCTGTTATACATGCCAGGTTTTGCCCAGAAGCAGTCAATTGGCAATTTGTAAAAGGCACAATGGGCTGGCTCCTCCAAGTTATGCTGCTGAAGGTGTCGCTGTTTTCACTTGGGGGTGGAGAGGCGCCACTGCTCGACACAATCGCATATGCCGGCTATACATTCACAGGGATGTGTCTTGCTGTGCTGGGGAGAATCACTTTGAACCACACATGTTATTTGATAATCGTATGGACTTGCCTCTGCGCGGGCATCTTCCTTGTGAAGACCTTGAAGCCAACTTTGTACACTCATGAGCTCAGGAGTTATTCCAGCTAGTAACACTATCTCTTGCTTGGCATTGCATTTGCTCAGTTCCCACTCATATGCTGGCTCAGCAACACCACTGGGAATTCCTTTTTCTGAATAATGCACTCTCTCAGTGCACAAATTTCAATGCTTGTTCTATTTTTCATTATGATGGATGCCTTTCTGTTTTTGTTACGACAACTTGGAGTCTATATTCATTCTTTTCTTCTCCCATTCTTTGTGGTTTGATAGTGAAACTGAAACAGTCTTTTAGCTGGTCTCTAAAGGGCGTAAATTGCATTTTGGTGTTTCTAATTTGCTTAAGATTTGAGAGTATCATTTTGCTTTTCTTTACATGCTTTTTTGGTGAATGAAAGATAAAAGGTTATAACACCATTAGGGTCAACCACTACTCCTTTCAAGAGCAAAAAAATTATATTCAATCCGACGGGTTTGAGTAGGTTATTTCTCATATTAGAGTCCCACCTTTGAGTGTAATTGGATTACCCCGATGGGGATTTTTTCTATTTTAATCATATTTTTAAGTCAACGGTCCAAACACAAAAAACAAAGGTAAGAAACTACTTACGTTTAATCATCGATCATTGCCGTATAATATGGGCACGTTGGCCCGTTAGGTTTGAGTTGAGAATTTCAGTTGAAAAATAAATTTATTTAAGAGAATATTATACAAAAAATATATATATAATTTAAATTTTTATAAAAAAAATACTGTAATAAAAAATTTTGAGTTGTGATTCGAATTGTGAAAAATAAAAAACGATGCCATAATTAGCTAAAAACAATTGCAATAACCAATATCAATGGCTTAAACATTTTTTTCCCATAAACTTTTAGAATTCTTTATGGTGAAACCCTAAAAAGTGTTATACTGATGGAGCACTATTTTTTACCGTTATATTATTTTTTTTACAGTTAAATCTATAATAATAATAATTTTGTGAAGCGCGTTGTAAAAATTTAACCGTTAAAAGTAAAAAAATTAATCCAACAACTAAAGAAGAAGTGCTCCACCGCCCTAATGAATCCGTAACTTTTAGACCTTCCAACTGTTCTTTGAAAAGAGACAGATGGGCAAATTAGTATTTTTAAGGCGAGTGATGAGTGAGGACTAGCCAACGGCTAACTCGCGAATGTATTGTTTCACTCCAGCCGTTCAAGGGACCCCAATCTTCCCGCGAAACTCAAAACCGAAATCTAACAATTCGACGAACAGAAAGGAAGTAATCTTTCTTCTGCAAAAGTGCAAACACATTAGCCACGTTCAATCAACACACGCCAAGATCATAAGAAATGGCCAAGAACAAGACCCTTTTATAGTCTTCGAGCTCCTTCGCCTTTGCTCCAATCTCAACTCCATTGACTACGCTTCCAAGATTTTCCAACGCATTCAAACCCCAAACGTCTTCCTCTACACTGCTCTCATTGATGGGTTTGTGCTGCATGGTTCTTACTTCGATGCGATTCTCCTGTATTGTCGTATGATCGATGATTCGATCGTCCCCGATAACTACGCTGTCGTTTCCGCTCTGAAAGCTTGTGGGTTTCAGTTGGCTCTGAAATTAGGGAGGGAGATCCATGGGCAGGTCATGAAACTTGGGTTGTGTTCGAATAGATCGGTGAAGATGAAGCTCATGGAGCTTTACGGGAAGTGTGGGGAATTGGAAGATGCACGACGGGTGTTCGACGAAATGCCTGAACGGGATTTTGTTGCGTCAACGGTTATGATGACATCTTATTTGCACCACGGGTTTGTCAGGGAGGCGAGTGCTGTTTTCAAACAGGTTCGGAGAAAGGACACGGTTTGTTGGACGGCGATGATCGATGGGTTGGTCAAGAACGGGGAAATGAATTGGGCTCTGGAGGTTTTCAGGGAGATGCAGATGGAGAATGTGAAGCCTAATGAAGCTACCATTGTTTGCGTTTTGTCTGCTTGTTCGCATTTGGGAGCTTTGGAACTTGGACGGTGGGTTCATTCATACATGGGAAAGTATGAAATCAAGCTCAATCATATCGTGGGTGGCGCATTGATCAACATGTATGCGAGATGTGGTGACATCGATAAGGTGAAGAAAGTGTTTGATGAAATGAACGAGAGGGATATCAGTACATATAACTCTATTATTGCAGGGCTTGGTATGCATGGGAAGAGCATTGAAGCCATTGAGATGTTCAGGGCAATGCTAAACAATGGTTTCAGACCGAATAGCATTACTTTTGTTGGGGTTTTGAATGCTTGTAGTCATAGAGGATTGGTGGAGTTGGGTTTTGAGATGTTCCATTCCATGGTTAAGGATTACAAGATTGAACCGCGAGTGGAGCACTATGGATGCATGGTTGATCTTTTGGGTCGAGTGGGTCGGCTCAAAGAGGCATTTTCTTTCATCTCAAGAATGAAAACAACTCCGGACCATATCATGTTGGGTGCTTTGCTAAGTGCTTGTAAAATCCACGGGAACCTTGAGCTAGGAGAGAAAATCGCAAAGACATTGTTGGGTTGTGATAAAGCGGATTCGGGAACCTACGTTCTATTATCAAATGTCTATGCTTCGTCAGGGAGATGGAAAGAGGCTGCAAAAGTGAGAGCAGAGATGAAGAAGGGTGGAATCCAAAAGGAACCAGGTTGTAGTTTGATTGAAGTGAATAATGAGATTCATGAGTTCCTTTTGGGAGACATCAGACACCCTCAGAAGGAAGAAATCTACAAGAAGTTAAAGGAGCTAGAGAAAAGGTTAAGATTAACGGAAGGATATTCGCCAAAAACAGATGTGTCATTGCATGATATCGAAGATCGGCAAAAGCAATGGGCTCTGTCGATACATAGCGAGAGGCTTGCAATATGCTATGGCCTAATCTCTACTCAACCGCACACCACTCTGAGGGTTGTGAAAAACTTGAGAGTCTGCAATGATTGCCACTCGATGATCAAGCTAATCGCTAAGGTTTCAAGGAGGAAAATCGTGGTCAGGGATCGAAATAGGTTCCACCATTTTGAGAACGGGATTTGTTCTTGTGGGGATTATTGGTGAAAAAGAGAACATGTTGTACCATTTTTATTTATGTTTAGTCGATATTAATTCTTAAGTTTTACTTTTAGTAGGAAAAGTTAAGTTGGCAGTGATGTTAATAGCATAGAGCAGCTGGAAAACTACTATGTCAAAAAATGGTGAAATAGGTGTTTAGAATTTGCGTACAACAAAAGATGGTTATTTAGAATCAAGATGCTCAAATTATCTTGATAAAGTTGCTTGTAGTGATATATGGGAAGAGTTATTGTAGAGAAACAGAGTAGTATGTCTCGATCAGCTTGGTCTTCAAGTATACGGTGTATTTGCCTTCTATTGAAGCCTTAATTTGGTACAATGATGGGAAAAAAAAAATTAAAAGAGAGAGAGAGAGAGAATACGTTTCTATACGCAATATAAATTTACTCTACTTACCCTTCCATGATCCATGATAAAATAAATTTTTGTTTTCTAACGTTGTCATTTTTTAAACATTTGTTTAGGAAAATTGATGCTTTTTAGACAAATTCACCTTTTAAAAAATCTGATTTTTCTATTCTCTTGCATCGTCGAAATATTGGAAAGAACCTTTCCTAAAAGAATAATGAAGCATGTTATATATGTATGTGAGTGGGATGAGTATTTGATCTTGCGGAGAAATAGTATTCTCATAACTTAAAACAATAAGGGCATTATTAACGTTGGACTCGCATAAGAACAACGTCTAAATTGCTTAAAAGTAACACAATAAACAATAGAAATAAAACCAAATAATTGCTTAAGTTCAAACCTTTTATTATTAGTTGGTTTGGATTTGCCCCAAATCCAATCCAACATCTTCCTTTCATGTGAAAACCTATAAATAAATCCTTGAAAAAGGAGGGGAAAATGTTGTGGAAATAATGAAAAGGTCCAATAATTCTCTCTTTTCTTTGCTTGTGATGCTAATGTCGGATTGACTAACAATGACAATGGATAGTGATTTGTTTTTATTAATCCTAAGAATATTACTAAAAGCTCTTATATGTTTTGCTATATCATTTGAAATGACCCTTATTTCTTAAAATCACAATCCACTCCAAGTAATTCACAACTTAATGAGATCAAAATAAATCTTTGACAGGTGTTTACCCACTTTTTTTTTATCCAGCTTGAATATGAATTCTAATTAAGATACAATGGCTGGTAGGTTTAACTAATTAGGCCATGTTTAAAGTTAAACGAGCCAAAGACAAAAAGCACATAACAAACAGGAATCTTATTTGGTAAGCCAACATAACGGTAAGTTAGGTTTTTTATCCGTCGGATATATATAAAATCACATAAAAATCAAAATGTACGCAAATCCAATAGTACATTAAGCGTACCAGAGAATCTCCCTAACAAATAACAATAGAACCAAAAACAAAATAAACCTTAAACACGTTGTAGGTGATTTGGGGGCCAGTATTGATCTTTCCTAAGAAGTAGTATTCTCATGAATTAAAGTATTAAACAAGAAGGCCGTTATTAATGTGATCACTATGCATGCATTTTTTTTTCAGGTTGACATGCAATTAGTTAGTAGCCTTCCTCATTACGTATCTTTTCATTTATTATTATTATAACAATTAACACGAGACGAGACAAGATCTCTCCATTATTCTACCCAAAAATTAAAAAATGAAAAATAAAAATCTCTCCATAAGGCTCTATAAAAACATGTCCGGAATTTGCAAATGAAAGCAAAAGCTGTTCAGCTGTAATACCCCGGTATCTTTTTCCTCTTACCATATAGTCCAAATTCAACGTCAACACAACAATATTATTGCCAGAAGTTGGCTCTCTCTACTACTACTCCCGCCAAATTATGCTGCCCTGCCTTGACCCCGTCGACCAGAATACTTCCCCAACAGAATCCCCGACCACATTTCCGTCCGAATCATGGACCCCGCCCTCCCCGACGGAGCGCAGGCTCCGGGGAGGTCCATGACCAGACCCGAGAAGCTCGCGGTGGCCCGGAAGCTGGCGGATCTTGGTGTCAACGTCATCGAGGTGGGGTTTCCGACGATGTCCAAGAACGACTTGGAGACGTCGAAGCTGATCGCGAGGGAGGTCGGCAACGCCGTCGACGAGCTCGGGTTCGTCCCCGCGATAGGCGCGTTGGCGCGGCGCGAAGTCTGAAGGGACGTGGACGCCGCTTGGGGGGCGGTGAGAGAAGCGAGGCGGCCGCGCTCGGCTGCAAGTGTTCACAGCCACGAGCGAGATTCTGATGAAGTACGAGGTGGAGAAGACGCCGGAGGAGGTTCTCAAGCTTGTTAAGGAGAGTGTGGCTTATGCTAAGAGCTTGGGGTGTGACGACATCGAGTTCGTGTGTGTAGATCGATGCTGGAAGATTATACGCAGTGTTTCTCTCTCTCTCTCTCTTTTCTGTATTAGAATTTTTTTTTTTTTTGGTTTGGCATAGAAATTATAAATAAAATTTTATTTTGATTCATGGCTTTCAAAAATGTCTTAAAATGAATCCTAGATCTATTAAATTGTTTGAAATTAATCCTTCTATCTATCAGATATTAAAATTTAGACAGAAAAAGCGCAAAAACCGTATGTGACTTTAGAAAGAATTAATTTTATTATCGACACCACTATAAAAAATGAAACTGTGCGTTTTGTCATTGAGATTTTAACAATCACATGCACGAAATGATTAATTTAGAACAACTTGATGGATCGATAACTTGTTTTACAACTTTAAAAAAGTAATGACCAAAATAGTATTCGACCTATTATTCGGGGATTAAAAATGAGTTTTTTTTTTTTTTTTGGTATTTCTGTACAAGACACCAAATAGTAAAGTAATTATTGCTTACTTCATGAAATTAACTATATAGAGTTTCATGCCCTCTATTTTTCTCTAGGTTTAGATATGCTATATATGTTTGGCACTTCTCCCAGAAATGAAGGAAAAATAATAGTGCATGCAGCGTTTTTTTTTTTTTTTTTTTTTTTTCAAAAACAGGCAACAAATTCACCATGCGGCATGTTCTGAATATTAACCCCCATGACAGAGAAAAAAAAAATCGCAAACTTTCTATTTTCTTTCGTCAAAAAGTTAACTAAAACTTTATATAACTGCTTTACGTACGTATAATTTATATCATGTCAAGTACAGGTCTAATAAGGAGTTTCTTTACCGAGTTTATGGGGAAGCAATTAAAGTAGGATCACTCTCACAAACACTGTTGGGCACAACTTTCCCAATGAAGTGGAGCAAATGATTTTAGACTTGAAAGCAAACGTTCAAGGAATACATGATGCTGTCGTTGCAGCGCATTGCCATAACGACCTTGGCCTTGCTAATGCCAATTCCTTAGCAGTATGCCATCGTATATATTCCTTCAACATTTATATTGTTATTTGCTGGTCCCAAAATTTTAAAAGGATTTCTATCTTTATGTATTTCATGATAACTGTTTTGTATAAATTCTTCCCCCCCAAAAAAAAAAAACAAAGCTGTACAGGCCGGTGCCAGACAAATTGAAGTCACGATCAATGGCCTTGGTGAAAGGGCAGGAAATGCTTCATTGGAGGAGGTACACGTGCGTGACACCTTTTTATTATTATTATTATTATACAAGAGTGAATTCACACACTTACATAACTCTTTTTTTTACCCTGTAATTACAAGCCTTCTAGTTCATAATAAAGACAATAGTCCCGTTCAATTCGTCGATTCGAATTTTGTTACAGTAAAAAGCTCCCATAAACAGTTACATCTAACTTTTTTGTTACAGTAAAAAGCTTTCATAAACACTTACATTTAACTTTTTTATTACAGTAAAAAGTTCTCATACAAAATCACATATCCACTTGAATTACAAACTTAAATCAGCGAAATGAACGGGTATATATATATATATATATATGTGAGTGTGTGTGTGTGTTTCCCATATTTCCTTTTGTAGTTTGTAATGGGTGTCAAATCTCGCGGCAACGACTTGCTAGGAGGACTATATACTGGAATCAACACCAAACAAATTGTGCCAACCAGCAAGATGGTATACTTTATAGTTATTTGCCTTTTTCATTATTGTTTTTTTATTTGATTCCCTTCAAAATAAGCTTTTTGCTCCTACTTGGATAATGTATTAGACTTTTGTATAGCTTTTTTTTTTTTTTTTTTTTTTGTGAGGCTTAAAATTTTTTTAGTTATTTATATATAGGTGGAAGACTGAAGAGTACAGCGGACTTTCTCTACAGCCGCATAAGGCCATTGTGGGAACAAATGTACTTTCCCATTGCAGTGAAATTCATCATCAGGTGCTTTAATTGATGTTTTCTTAATTAAATTAGTTAATGCAAACGTGGAATTCTTAACACCAAATGCCAAATTTACTTTTCCTTGCAGCGGAACTGCGCAAAATCAAATATTAGAACTCCCAAACCAGATCCTCCGTTCAAAGTTCCTTATTAAGCAACTTTCTAGATTTTGGGCGAAATGTATGAATTTCTGTTTTGTGGTTGGGTTTTGGACTAATAAATGATGAGTTTTGGACTGATAATTGGGGATGCAAAATTGCCTAGAAGCCATTTACGCAAATGCGGAGGCTTTACACTGATGGCAAATCACACCAACAACCTAGATACTCTAATTTCTCACTTTGCAATGTTGGATCGTAAAATATTGGGAAATTTCTATTTCAAACTCTACCTGATTCGCATGATCAACTCATCGTAAATTTGACAAACAATTCAGCAATCAGTTATTGGAGAATAACATCAAGAATAAGGACATAAAGTCCTCAAGCGCCATTGTGCTTTGAATGAATAAATAATGAAGAATAAAATTGGGAAGATTTTACTCGTTAACCTCTATTCTTACTCTTTTCTTTCGATATCATTTAGCTAAAAATTATTTTTTTTAGTAGAAAATTAATTAATTGACAAAAGATGACTCTAATCATTTCGTTAATGGTGTTTGTTGAAAAAAATCTTATAATAGCAGAGTATTATGTATTGATCAGCCTGGTGTTCTAGAATACCGTGTATTTGCCATCTTTTGAAGCTTAAATTTCTTGTAAGCTGTTTAATTTAGTTCGTTGAAGTAATTTTTTTAGGAGAATCCGTAGAATTAATTTTTTGCTAATCATCCGTGGAAGTAATTAGTTATAAGTAGCAAAAGCGTAGTAAAATTCAAGTACACTTCCTCTGGACAAAAGAAAAAAAAAAGTACTAACGTAATAATAATATTCAAGCCCTTTGGTTCAATGACTGTATTTTTCTTTTTTATTTTGATGTTTATTCTCATTTCAGGTTAACAAAAAAAAAAAAAAACATTGTATTTGAGGTCGTATCATATATTATATACCTTCAAATATCGAGTACACCCTCAATTATAATAAGAAAAAAAAAAGAATATTAGGAAAATAATATACAGTAGGAAAGATATTTGTCTTTTAACTCCTTTTTTTAATCATGAAATAACATTTGGCCAAAAAAAGAAAAAGAAAATACGGTTGTACGCTGTGTGAATTCACGATCCATGATATGAATGTTTTTCTACTAATAAAAAAAAAAGAGAAATTTGTGTGCGTGTTTAGAACCGTTTTTAAAAATAATTTTTACATATTTTAAAAAATAAAAAATAAAAATAAAATGACGTTTGTTTAACATATATTTTAAAAATGAAAGTAGTGAGAATAATTTTTCAAAAGAAATTAAAAAATAATTGAAAATTATTTTCACTTTTTATTTTTATTTTTAGTATTTATTAATAATATTATAATATATTAATTAATAAACACGATTTTATTTTTTTTATTATACTCAAAATAATCTATAATCAACCAAACTTAATTTTAAAATTAATCTCAAAATAATTCTCAAAAGAATTTTATTTTTATTTTTTATTAAAAATAAAATTATTTTAAAACTAATTCTAAACCCACTTACAATAAACTCATTTTTTGGTCTTAACATTTGTTGTTACCCAACATTTGGTTGGCAAAATATTTTGACAACAAACAAACCTCACCTGGTTGTTTAAACTCCCACGCGCCATTCCACAACGCTTTCCTTTTTCTCCCAAGCCCATCCGTTCACATCACTTTAAACCCTCCAAAAAGCCAAACAAAAACCACACCATTATCACTCCACCCATCCCAAAAGGCAAAGCATAAATACCATAATTGAAATCCGAAATTCCAATCCTCTTCCTATCATGGACGAGTAAGATATATATATATATATATATAACAAATCTTTATTTTTCTTTTTTCAAAAAATAAAAATCTGATTTTTCTTCTCTTCTCTCCAGATCTGAGGAGTACCCCAAGGACATGTACCAATCCGACAGCCAGAGGATGACGTCATCATCGTCGTCTTCGACGTCGACGACGAGCGTGCACGTGACGGCGCTGGACGGGCTGGTGAACGTGAACTCGCTGTTCACGATCGCGGTGTTCGTGGGGCTGTCGCTGACGACGCCGGGGCAGCAGAGCCTCGAGAACCGCGCCTGCGACGCCGGGATCGACGTGGCCAAGAAGCTTCTGGTCTTCGAGGTGGTGTCGTTCAGCTTTTTCCTCTTCTCGTCGCTGGTGGCGCAGGGGCTTAAGCTCGCCATTAACCTCCTCAACAGCAAGGACGTCGACGAGGCCTTCCGGGCCCACATCAACCTCAAGGTCCTCCGCCTCGGCATGCTCGGCTCCGCCGTCGGATCCGTCATGGGCTGCGTCTTCCTTATGCTGTCCATGGTCAACGTCATCGAGATCCGCTTGGGTATGCTCTCCTGCGGTAGCAAATCTGCTGTTCATGCGGTTGTTGCCTTGGTTGTTTTGGTATCTTCAGCTCTTTTGGTTTATATTTCCACAGCCATCTATGCCTTTCTTCACTAAGACATGTCAAATATCTCGTCTTACCAAAAAAAAAAAAAAAGGTTATTAAAGTTGTGTACATGTTCTGTCCCTCACTCATTTCAAAAATTTGTTTTTCCTGGTTTTTTTTTTTTTTTAATCTGCGGACAATCTTGACTTGGACAAATTTTTGGTTTTTTGCATTTCTAGAATATGATGAATATGAAATACTTTATAGTAATTCTGAGTTGATACTATTTGAGTACTTAATCAACAATTTTATGATGTTTTGAGTAGAGTTCGGGTATTGGTTTTCTGGGTTTTTAGCTTCTTTAATTTTGGTTAGTAATTATCGAAAAAAAAAAAAAAAAAAAAAAAAGAGACAATATGCTAGAATAATTTTTTAATAAAGTGAAATTAATAAAATAATTTTTTTCTATTTTTTATAAAGAAAAATATTTACTCATTTTTTATAAAATAAGATCATTTTACAAATAAAAATTTTTAAAAAATTATTTTCCTAATAAAATTTTTCAAAAGAGTTAGAGTAGAGTAGAGATATATATGACCAGCTAGAACACCGAGAAATGTGTATATGCCCAGTTGCTTTCCATACATAGCTTTATATATACACACACACACACACACACACGAGGAAGATTGAGGTGCCATTAGCCAATGGCATAGACGAGTCTAAAGATGGGCAGTTGATTGAGATGGTACAAGGAAATGTTGTCAATTTATTTTCCTCAATTTTATGCTGTCGGAAGCCTGACAAGTCCAAGCTTCAACTGCCTTGCAAAGAATATGGTTTCCAGCACAGCACGAGCTACTTGGCTGCTTCAGCTAAGGATTATTTTCCGTTTTTTGTTTTTGGTCCTTTTTTGTATGCTAAAATGTCCCACAATCAGTTTGATTGCTGAGATGGCCCCAGCTTTCGCGGCAACAATTCTTCCGCTTAATCAACTCGCGTTCTACTTGTGGACGATATTTATTTTTTATTTTTATTTTTTTATTTTTTATTTTATTTTTTTCGAAAGACTCTTCTCTAAAGATACGATGCTTATTTCCCTTCCGCCCATTTTCTAACACAAAACTAACTGGGAATAAGCTATTATAGCCCTCCATAAGGCACAAGACCTAGAAGCAAAGAAACAAGAAGTTTGCACGTTAATCCAAGAACCGACTCAACGGTTTTTAGATGGAAAAGCATGTGGTCCACTAGGCATGTTAATGGAAATGGTTTTCACTGGGTGCCGACATGCCAACGTCACTTAAAAAAACTGTCCTAATATAACCCAAATTTTATACCAATCGCCATAATATAAGGGTCCGTTTAGTTCATTAATTTGAGTTGAGAGGTGATTTTATGTGAGATTTTTTTATTATAACAAAATATTAAATGTGACTGTTTCTGAGAGCTTTTTACTATAGCAAAACTCTAATTCTAAACTCGAATTAATGAAATGAACGGGGCCTAAGTTTTGATAAGAATAAAGCTGCAAGTTTGAACTGGACTAAACAAACCTGCTCGAGATTCGTCATTGGTGGCTCAAGCCCAGCTTAAACCTAGGACCTGAGCTTGAAAACTTATTCCGGTCGAACATTCCCTTTTAAAAAATTATTGAGATACTTTATAAATTCCGGACCGGACCGACGTTCACCTCTTTTAGGGCTTGCCCGTTCCTGCCCGGAATTTCCATTCGGGCTGAACAGCCTGAACTTTCACATCTAGATAAGAGAGTGTTAATTAAAGCTCAAGAATGTTGTTCAGCTTCAGATTCATTAGTGTGGGATACTCAAGTCAATAAAACTAAGTCATGCGCAAAGAAAATCATCCTATGGAGTCAATTCTTATAAATATGTCGTGGTTGACAAGAGGTGTAAGTTTAGACCGTCCGACCTGATCGGCCCGAAAGGAAAATTTAGGCTGGGCCGACCCTAAAAGAAAGAAGTTCGGTCCAACCGGGCCCTAAGCCCAAAAAGTTTAGAGTTGATCCAGCCCCGTCCGTAATTTTATAAGGTATTTTTTTTAAAAAAATCTTTAAAAATATGATGTTTGAGCCAAGTCGGCCCGATCTTAAAGGAGAGAGGGTCGGCCCAGCCCGGCCCTAACCTAAAAAATTTAAGGTCGGGCCCAGGGCAACAGTGGTGGGCCTCGGACCGGTTCGTTTAGCCCGACCTAAACTTGTAGTTCTATGGTCTGGACATTAATAGTCTGTTTGGTATGATTGAAAACTGGAAAGAAGGAAAATATTTGAGGGATTTTAGGATGGGAATTGATAAATTGAGATGTTTAGTAGGAAGGAAGTTTGGATGGAAAGGAAATTTAGGTGGAAAGACTAAAGAGTGGGTCCCACTATATTTCTTCTTTCCACAAGTGGGCAGAAAATGGAATAAAAAATGGAGACAACTAATTAAAGTGAGCAAAGTTACTAAACTACCATTTTCTCCATCAACATCCAAGCAAAAAATTTAAGCGGCAAATGGTGATGCTAAATGGAGTTAATGCATGATACGTTGAATGTTAATGACAAATAGTAATGCTAAATTATTTTTATTGCTTTTTTAGGAACTAAAAAAGATATGGTTAATACTACTTGGATAAAATGGTAACTGTTCATGTTGTTTTATCATGAAGTACAATTTTACCCCTTGACATTCTTTTCACAAATATTATTCATGGGTATAAAAGTAATTTACGAGTAAGATTTTCTCTTTTCTTCCCAATTTAACTTCTAATACCAAATAAGTGAAGGTAAGCTCATTTTCTTTCCGTATTCTCGTACCAAACAACATAAAAGAAAATTAATTTCATTTCTATCATTGCTATTTTCCATCACTTCCATATTTCCTTTCTATCCTATTTTCTTTCCTTCTTACCAAACATAGCATAATAGAGCTGGATAGTGTTGCGGTTTTTGACAATCGGCCGCCGAGAGAAATACTGCGTAGAGCTGAGTTTTGACATTATACAAGGTATCTTTACTATGTAAGGTTCAGTCATTTTGAGAGTTAGAACATAATCTTCACTAATTCTTGATGAGCTACTTTTACAAGGATGGTACATTAACGAAGAATTTTAAACCTAAGAGGTCAAAATTTGGTCTCCAGTTCTAACAATAGCAGATAAAAGAAATTGTACAAAGGTAAAAATGGACAATTACAGGGGATGTTGAGTGTCGGAAAGTGATACCCTCTTAGATTCAATTTCTTTAACACTTTGAACTATGTCATCAATGTTTCTCGAAAGATGATTAGAATGTTCTTCCATCTCTCTCAATACCAGGTCAAGCTGTTCTTGCAAAGCAGCAGATCGCTTTCGTTCTCGCTGTAATTCTGCCGTTAACTCTCGAATTTTGACATCTTTCTCATCCTGTACGGAAAAACCCGGCAAGAAAATGGAAAAAGAAGAGTTATACACAGAACTAGTTGACAGACAGAAAAGATGATGGTGGAAGATTGGAATAATGCAAGGAAGCCTCATCTCTCAAACTCAAATGTTATGCATGATATGCATTTTAGATGGGCTTATGAAATAATGAAACAGAACAATTCATGTCTCAAGAAATAATGTCAAATATAGTGGATTCTGCAACAATTGGTAGATTACTATTAAGAAATTCAAAAATAACAGGACACAGTTTCAGTTCGTCTTCAGCAAAGAAAGAAAGGAAAGGCGGTCTCGTGTCTTTTACTGCAACTAAAATCTTAGACTATGCCAAATGCATCAAGTAAAATTAAAGAAGCCAAGGTCAGCGTGAATCTTTCCCACTTCAATAGAAGGCAATTCATTAAAAGTTTGTCCTTTCCTTACTTTTTAAACGCTTGCTTAAACTACCTTATTACTCTTGTACAATACTGACTTGCAAGTATGTGAACTAAGAAAGAAAGGAAAAAAAAAGAAAGAAAGAAAGAAAGAAAGAAAGAGCATGCATTAAGCACGCACAAAGAACCAGTTGCATGAAAAATAGGGAAAATATACATGGACAATATTTTAGCCACTTTCTGAACAAACCGATTATAAGGTCTTTTAGCAAAACCTAGTTGCCACAAGTGAAAGATTCAATCATCTAAAGCTCACTTTTTAATCACTTCTAAGAACACCACAACTTATGAGAAACTAAAAGTTACTTGTGGAGATTAATATGAGAGCGAAAAATAAAAATAGTTTACGAGTCTAATCACATATTCAAGTCCAGATTCCAGATGTGATATCCAATCAAGATATAGTTGAGGAGAGATAGACAATGACAAGTACTACTTGTAAAAGAAGTAGATTGAGAACTCACCGGTGTTTGAGATAGAAGCACACTACGACGGCCATTGGCAGGTGTAACTACAAGTGGATGATTATGTTCCCTTACAAATCTCGTTACAACCCATTTCCCTGTTTTCTCCTTTTTTACCACTATCATCGCCTTACACCCTTCCCTTGTGATAGCTCGGGGCTTCCTATTCTCACTTCTTTTGGGCCTCAACTTTCGAAAACCCTCTTTATTACACACTAGTCGACGCCAAACAACCTTTCCATCACGCATTGATCTCCTAAACGCATCAACACGCATAATAAACCCTAGATGTGTGGCATACGCATCATAGAACACTTTGGCAGCCTCTTCAGACTCAAACTCCATACCCACGTATGGTTCCATATCGGAACATTCCTCATTTGTGGCTACCTCCTTTCCGTTAGAATTTTCCAAGGCATCCCCATCTTCGCTGAAAGAAGGGTGTTCATCCACTGCAGGAAATTGTTTCATATTACTCATCAACAACGGGAGAAAGTAAAGACATCAAAAGTTACATCTGGTGTTAAGAATAAGAGACCCTAATTCTTTACTGACAAGAGCGATGAAATAAAGAAAGACAATAAAGCACACTAGAACTACGCCCATTTTCTGCCGCTACAGAATTTAACTACTGATGAAGAGAGAAAAATATTACAAGAGAATAAGGGCAATAATTAGGCTCATCATGCTAGACATTTTGTGAGATTCAACATAAACTTTAAAAAGATTGCACATTGAAAGTATAATCTTTATATTAAAGCTATTCAAAGATAACAGATACAACAGATGCACATGACGCCATTTGACAATTGAGAGCCTATTGCTCGTCAAAACAATAACAAGCTCCTTAAAATCAGGAAACCAAAGAATAACACCACAGTTTGCACCAACGCTAAAACTGAACTACAGACAAATCAACTCAAAATTGTTGCTCATATAACACAGTGAAGCATGGTTTAGTCCTTCTGAGTAAAAATACAGATCAAATGAACCCATTAGCACTAACAAAGTTGGAAACATCAGTACAAGCTAAAATTGGGTTTGATAGTCTAGATTCTCCAACTTTTAACTTTCTTCCTGTTTTTTCTTGGAAAACAAACAGACGGAGAATTCTCAAATTACTGAAATCCCAAGTACATAACCAGAAAAACAGAAACAGAATATTCGGGAAATTTTTTTATAAAAAAATGTAAATTTCAATTCAACTTCGTCCTCGTCAAATAAAGCTAACATCTTTAGAAAAATGGTAAATAAACAATTTAAGAATGATTGACTCACTTGGTTGGTAGATCCAAAGGTTGTTTGTTCAGGTCCGAGAAAGATCAGATTTTTTTTTTTTTTTTGGTCCTCGCTCTTTTTGTCGTTATTTAGAGGTCGAAATGGAAGTGGAATCAGCAGAGAATGAGCGAACAAATAATGGTTAGTGACTTTCTTTATCCGGCGAACATAGGGCCCCACCACCCTTCTAATTATGGACTTTCTTCTTCCTCTTCTTCCTCTTCTTCTTCCCCGAGTTTCCCCAATTCAACTATTCAAGTCCCTGCCACCTCGGTAGTTCTCAGGAAATAAATTTTTAATTGAAAAATGCATTTTGTTACTCTCTCTTTCTTTCTTTCTTTTTTTTTTTTTCAATTTTTTAAAGGTGTATAACCCTCATACCGCATTTTTTTTTTATTTATGTCAAAATTATTACATTTAACACTCCTCATCACTTTCAAACCTAACAATATATATATTTTATGTAGAGTTTGAATTACCCAAAAATGCTCTTAAAATAAAAAAAATTTCTGGTATGAAATATCTAAAATTTTTTATTTTCAATCATCACATATGTATTACAAACTATCTGTTATATATATATATTAATTTAATATTATGTAAATCAAATTTAATAATCATAAACTGATCATAGAGACCTTATTAGAAAAAAATCCCCTTAAAGTAAAGAATAACAATATTTCCAAGTGCTTTAGTCAAAAAAGAAAAAGGATTGATGGGAATTGGGAGCACCCGGTATAATTTCTTATCTTTTGTTTTTATTTTCTTTACTAAAATGTACGATGATTTGTATTTTTTTTTTTTTTTGTGATTAAGCGTAAATGTATGATGATTTGCTCAAACTTCAGTTAAACGGCAAAAAGACAATGAAGTAATATGGATATGTAATATTTAAAACCATATAGTATTATTTGTTTATTAAAAAAACTTGTATTTGTAACATCAAAATGGTTAAATTCAAATGTTAAGTTTAAAAAAGTAAAAATTATTAGATTTCTTTGGTTGGTCCCCCTAGCTTTTTTCTTTTCTTTTTTTAACATAGTAATTCTAATTTTAATATAATAAATATGTGTATAAATTATATTTAACTCCTCTTAAATTAATAGTTCTCTAATCTCTATATTTTATTAGGCCAACCATTTAGATTTAAAAAAAATATTCAATTTTATTAAATCTATAAAAATTAGTATAATCTTAATTAAAAAAATTTAAACTCCTACCAATAAATTTTAGCTCAGTCACTGACTAGATATGTAATTGATTAAAATAATAGTAGTATTTTGATGTTTTCATTTTTTTTCTTCCTATCAGAAAACCTAAGGTTCATGACGTATTCATTTATCTTCTCTCTCTTTCTTTTAGATCATAATGTAAATTTTTTAGTTTAAGCTGACAATATGGTAAAAATTCAACCATAACTTGTAAAATTAAGCATCACAGTAAATATTGTTGCGTTGGTATTATAATTGACTTAGATAATATTCACAGTGTTTTTTTTTAAAGCATAAGTTTAGAATCCATGACTTAACTTTTTTTAGTAAATATTCTTTTGACAAAGAATAAGCTTATAATGTCTTTTTATTCCTAAATTGCCATGTAACTAGATTAAAACAAGCTTCAAAATAATTATTGGCACGTGTTAATATCACTATAGCTAATTTATTTTCCATATTGTTTTTTTCTAATTATTTCATTTTGTGCTAACTAGAAGCACTTTTTTTTAAATTTTTTTTTAAGAATAGAAAAAGAAACAGAAAAAAAGAAAAAAGAAAAAGAAAAACCACAATTTACTTTCATTTCACAATGACCGTTCCTCTTCGCTACAAGCTACGCAGTGCTATCGCTCAGCTCCAAATATCGCTTCAAACAAAAGACACTCTTTTTTGCTTCTTTCGTTTCCGATTTCCATTCAGTAAGTTTCTTCACTATTTCTCCTTTACACTTCTCTTTTATCAATTTATTCAAATTATTTCGCCCGTTAGATTAAGGAAATTTCTGTAATCTGATGCTCTCGAGCCCTCGAAACGCCCCAAACCGGTTAACCAAACTTGAAAAGTTGTCGAATTTTCCGGGAAAATAGCTCCCCAAGCATTCTCGTTTATGGGAAAAATTCATAAACCAACTTTCTCAGATCTCCTAACCACTGCCCAGCAAATTTGCCACTGAAATCTATAGTGGGATTTTTTTTTTTTTTTTTTATATTTCGTTCTTGAGATGTTTAAGCGTTTTACGTGTTTCAAGTTCAAATCTATTCGTTACATGTGATATGAACGATTTTTATCTTCATCACATAATGTACATTTTTTCCCCTTGTGACTTGTGTTTTGAGATGCAAATTATGTCTTTATTCGTCATCTATAAAAGCTGAAGGAGTTTATTTTATTTATTGATTTGTTGATTTTTGTGATTTTTGCTACCATACTTATTAGGGGTGCTAAGCAAGAAATTAATTTATGATATGTAGATCAGGAAATGCTATTAAGCTTGTGGGGACACTTGTTTTATCTGAGAACAATTAAAAGGAAAGAAAATTCAGCTAAAGTTTGAGCTAATCGTATGAAGAAGAGAAACTAACAACTTGGAGAAATTACAGAGTTTTAGTTATTTTTCTCTATGCTTGTTTGGATTTTTTGTTAGTGGAAATGAAGATTTTGTGATTCAGAAAGCTGAATAATACAGTTTCAGAAGTGTTTACTGTTTCTATATTTATGACAGTGGATTTGGAGAAGGAAAGTGGAGCAATGGAAAGTTCTGTCGAAGTCGATGTAGGTTCTTCTGGAGGTCAAATTTCAGAACCATACGTTGGTATGGAATTTGAATCTGAAGATGCTGCCAGGAGTTTTTATGCAGAGTATGCCAGTCGAGTAGGATTTGTTGTGCGTGTTATGCAACGTCGTCGTTCGGGTATTGATGGGAGAACTCTTGCTCGCCGTCTTGGATGTAATAAACAAGGTTTCTCTCCTAATCAGAAGGGCGCATTAGGACCAGAGAAAAAACCTAGACCTAGTGCAAGAGAAGGTTGTAATGCGACCATTCTGGTGAAGATGGAAAAATCTGGAAAATGGGTTGTAACAAGATTTGTAAAGGAGCACAACCATCCGCTGGTTGTTACTGCCAATGGCTTCAGCACAGAGGTGAGTCTTTAACAGTTTTAAGTATCATTACATTTTCAAGAAAGTAAGAAAGTAAGAAAGCAAGAAATTCCCCTCTCAGGCTTTGATGCGAAACTATGTTAAATGTATTTACAAGCATTGACTCCTATAGGCTTACAAAGATCAATATGAAGTTGTTCCTTGCTCAAGTTTCATAGTTCAATTCCAGGACCATGAATTTAGCTTGATTTTCCCTTTTAGTATTGGTTTTGTTTTGTGCACTGAGCACTCCATCTGTTGGGAAATTTGACATTTTCTCAGAGACTTTCGCAAACACTTGTTAGAATGACAAATTGATCACTCGAAACTCTCAAGGACGCTCAATGTAGTTAAATATATCGTAAGAAATCACACAAAACACGAGAGATTTAACGAGATTTGATCCAATATAGATCTACATTCCTGACTCCTAGTCAACGGCAGAGTTTTGCATTAGAAATCACAGAACAGATTACACCCTTGGAGCTTCTGTCTCCTACAAGTGTTTTATCTCACTAGAATTCTCATAATCATCTCACCAAAACATCAATGAGTCTTTCACAGAGTTTTTTTGGCCCAAGAGAGTATTCAAGATTTAAATAAAACAGTTATGTTGCCACCTGACAATCCCCTGCTTTCTCATCAACCACAGTCCACCTTCCATGCCAATTCCCATTGTCACCTTAGCAACTCTGCTAAAACTTATCTAAGCCATTTTCGACTGTAACATCCTTTCTTGGTCTTTACTGAATCAATACCTTGCTGGAATTCTTCCCTTGCTTGCTTCACTTCCTCCAGTCCATGTTTCCACAGTATGGCAGATTCTTCTCAAGTAACAACCCCTAGTAACCAGGATTCTACAAACAGAAGGTGGCGGGAGGCAAATTTTGCTGTCACATTCAAAAGATTTAGATCGTGCCGTGATACTGATAGAGGAATTTAGAGAGCTGTATTTTCTCAAAAGGGTGAGACAGCGCCAGACCCTTATGGCTGCTACTCATCGTTCTTTCCATCACCTATTTGTTCTGGAGGACTTTTTGCAGTTATATACTTCACTTTCTTACTGTAGTTCCGAAGCTTCTAATCGTTCAAAAAAGAGTTAGAAAGGATCAATATTAACTGCAATATGTAATTCCATTCATTCTGCTTTTTGACCATAGAAGAGTTGTGCATGAGATCTGATCCGGAATCCTTTTGTGTTACTTTACTCTTCACGTTATTAGAGTTAGTACTTAAGTTAGTTATGGTGATCCTTTTTGTTTTTGTTTCTTTTTTCTTTCATTTTAAGTGGTTCATTTCTGTATGTTAGTTCCTTATTCATCGTTGTTTGCAGGGCGATAAGGATAAGAAAATTGAAGAACTTACAATGGAGTTGGAGCGTCAGGAGCAACTATGCGCAACTTACCGAGAAAAACTACTGAGTTTTATGAAGAATATTGAGGATGAAACTGAAGAACTCTCTGCGAAGATACAAGTTATTGTTGAAAATGTCAGAAGAGTAGAATCCCAAGTGCAAAAACATTCCCGTCATAGATAGCCTTGTAATTTAACATCACTAGTTACGTGCCATGTATTTAGCTAGATAGATTAGTGTATTCTTCAAATTCAGCTTAACGAAACATTTTAATCATGTACAGCACAGAATATTTGTTGAACTCAAGTTCTTTTCTTTGAATCTTCATACCAAGACAAACAAAGGGAGGAAAAACCCCTTTTTTATGCTAACGGAAGCATCTTGGCTATCGTTTGGTTTTGCCCTTTTGTACAGTGGTATATCAAAATATCAATTCCAAACTGCTGAATCCTTGAACTAGGTTTTTTTTTTTTTTTTTAGTACCTCAGAACAAGTTATTTTCTTAGAAAGCAATCACTTCAAATTTTGTGTGTGTTCTTGTTATAACTTAAATTATAATTTAAATTTTTTTTTACAGTTTTTTTCATAAAAATTCAATTTTAATTTTTTTGTTGCAGTGTTTTCTTACACATGAATTTACATTTCAACTTGAGCAAAAAAGTAGGGGTCCTTCGTCTCTCCTTCAAGTGTCATGGCAACATATGATGATAGACGTGTTATTTATAACAAAGTAAGGAATCTAGACTACCATTGACAAGCACAAATATATATCAAACAAATCATAAAATTCTATTGAGAGATAATTTGATAACACAATCGATAAGCTGAACAAGTATAGCACATGTAGAAAAAACATACCATCATAATGAAAAGTTGTTTTTCTACTCAAATATAAGAAGGCATGAATAGCTATTTAATGTTTTTAATTAAAATGATAATGATTTAGCTTTTTTCTACTCTAATTATTAGTTAAATAGTCTATTTTAGAGAATGTCTTTCAGTTTTCACACTAAATATAGTCAGGGCTCGTTCACTTCGCTGATTTGAGTTTGTAATTTGAGTTGAGATGTGATTTTATGTTAACTTTTTACTGTAGTAAAAAAGTTAAATGTGACTATTTCTAAAATTTTTTTACTGTAGTAAAACTCAAATTTTAAACTCGAATCGGTAAAGTGAACGGGGCCCAGTATAAAGTGGCTAATTATTTCATTTTTTTATATTATTTTATTCTTTTCTATAATAAATGTAAAGACTCTTTTTTAAAATTAATAAAATATTTATATTTTAAATTCAATAAATACTAAAAAAATTTATATTTAGTTAAAATATAAAGTATAATTAGATTGTCACAAAAAATTAATAGTTTAAATAATTTTTTAGTCATTTTAACTAAAATTTAAAGAGTTTGAAAGAGAAGGCAGGTAGTGGTGCCTGGCAAATGTTTAAATGGATCTTAAAGAAAAAAGAAAAAAGAAAAAAGAAAGAGAAAAAGTAGATGACTAGACGTTAATGAGAGCAGTCTAAGGCTGGGAATTGAAACGGTGGAAGCTAAACGACGCCGTATGAGCCGTACCATAGACAAACGATAAACGACAGCATTCAAAAGACTCTAAATGCGAAAGGACACGTGTCGAAGTATCAGCTCTTTTGGTGGGGCCCTTTGTACACAGAGACCGGCTGATCTGGACCGTACATAGCGTTCCCGCACTGATATCTCTCTTGTCCGTCTCAGCTCATCCACGTACCGAACCGGACCGCTGCAATCCTACGCCAAGTTCTTCTTCTTCTTCAAGCTTGGATTTTCCATTGTTTTCCAGTTTCTGCAACTCTCTCTCTCTGAAAAACCTCGCAGCTAAAATTACTCAACTTTATCTTTCTATGTCTCGACCGTTGATTTGAATCGGTTGGGATGAACATCAATTGGATTTGGGGGCGTCTAATCAGAGCTAATGCCGTGACAAATTCACTAGGTTTGATAGGGACGAGATTCGAATTTTAATGTTGTTTTCATGCAATTCCTGGGCTTACAATGATTTGGATGAGAAATCTCACCTGTGATTAGTGAGAGAATTCGCTTAAGGTATAACCTAATTCTTCATTTCTTTCAACAACAAAAAAATCCTCTCGAGTATTATAAAGTAGTTTTACTGCTCGAAAGCTTTCTTTAGGTTTGAATCCTATTTCAAAATTATATTCTCGTTTCCCCACGAACTTATGGAAAATTTAGAGGTGAAGAACGTGAACATTGGTATAATACTTTTGTTTTTCTTTTTTTGTTTGGGTTGGAAAAATAAGACTGACAGCACACATTAAATCACGACTTCTTTGTTCTGAGCCAAAAGAGAAAAAAAAATCATGATTTCTATGTTAATCATGTCAACTTTGGGTGATAGTGTAATTTTATTTTATTTTTTGGGCGAAAGATTTACACTTAATAATTACACTTTCTTTCCTTGTGTTATTTATTATTTTTTTTTTTCGGCCAGCTGAAACTTGAAAGTCATGAAGCCGCATTAGGGGAAAGATTTACACTTAATAATTACACTTTCTTTCCTTGTGTTATTTATTTTTTTTTTTTTTTCGGCCAGCTGAAACTTGAAAGTCATGAAGCCGCATTAGGAGCTGTTTGATGATTTGAGCCTGGAGATTGGCACCAAAATCCCCTAATTAGCCTCTCTATGGTTTTCCTTTAGCCATCTATTCATTTACCACCCACTGTTTTTTTGCTACCAAATTTGGTCATAACATGAAGCAAAATTGTCCCGCATCAATGTTCCATTGGAAAGATCATTTTTTTCCCCAGCAACATAGCCACTAAGACTTAATTGTTGGACTTGGCTTGTTTCTTGGTATTAGCATTTTTTTTCTTGGAGGAAGACAGTATCAGATATCCATTCCTGTATATGCTGAGCTTTTAGCTAATGGGAAATTGCAGGTAAAGACTGATCACTACTGGCTTCTCATTTCCATCGTACCTCCATAGTGTTGCTTTGTTTTGGTTTTTAGGTGAAATATTGGTCCATATTTGTTAAGGTTGTTTTATTAACAAACCGTGGAAAATGAAGAAATCTGAACCTTTCCTTCCAGATTGCAGACCTGTGATGGATATACAGCTAGTTTGAATCTGTTCTGGAAGGTCAATGGAAAGCACATCGAATCAATCATTTGATTCGGATGAAAGCGAAAGGTGCTTGCAAATCGAAAGTTATGATGAACATGTACTGGTTGACGATGAAATCTCAAAAGATATTGATTTATGTACAGATGGAATTCATACAACTGTTGAACAGTCTAATGAAAGCTTGTCCGTAACGGGCAATGCTGTAGAGCCATATATGGGCATGGAGTTCAAATCAAGGGAAGATGCTCGAGAATTTTATATTGTTTATGGAAGGCACACTGGATTTACAGTACGCATTCACCATAACAGGCGTTCGCGAATAAATAACATGGTTATAGGTCAAGATTTTGTTTGTTCAAAAGAAGGTTTCCGCGAGAAGAAATATGTGTGTAGGAAAGATAGAGTTCTGCCTCCACCACCTATAACTAGAGAAGGCTGTCCTGCTATGCTGAGGGTAGCTCTAAGAGATGGAGAAAAGTGGGTCGTCACCAAATTCATAAAAGAGCATAATCACACCTTAATGTCCCCAAGTAAAGTACCGTTGCGAAGATCTGGGAAAAGTTTGATCAGTGAGGTTTGTTTTCTTTTTCTGACTCTGATTGCATTTAGCTTGTTGTTTGTGTACTTAACATCCTTGTTGCAGGATGAGAAGGATCGGAGAATCCGTGAGTTGACGATAGAACTGAGTAATGAAAGACAGCGATGTAAACGTCGATGTGCAGCTTACGAGGAACAATTACGTTTGATCTTGAAAGATATAGAGCAGCATACTGATCACTTGTCTAAAAGAGTTCAAGATATTGTTAAAAACATAAAAGAACTTGAGAATGAAGATTCAGACCCTTGATTTTCTTTATCCATTTCTTTACTTTATATACTTGATGCATCCACAATCGCCGCAAAATCTGATAGCTTGTTTAGTCGATTCAGTTATTCTTTTTAAAATAGTATTTGTAGTCCTGTTTTGCTCTCTACTCATTCCTAAATATGACAAACACTTTTTACATATCAACTTTAGGATCTACCCCAAATGGATATGCTTTTTTCTGATGATGTCTCAACCTCAAAAAAGCTATATGTATTCATTATTCAACCGGTAAAGTATTATTGTTGTCTGCGGAAACACCCAGGCACATTATTAATGTTCCAAAATGTAGAAAAGGGCAAGTAATACTCATGAATATAACATGAGCAAGCACTAAAGAAAAAAATTTCCCTCGTATAACGAAAATAGTACCTCCAAAGAAAGTGTATTAAATCAGTTATGGTAATAAATACATTACAAAACTATCTTCTCCTGTTCTTCAAAAGAGCAGCAGCACGGAGAAACAGCCTATCAACCTCATCTAAATTCTGCAAATCCGCGTCTTCGCTAGACGAGTTGGCCTTCTTTGAGTCAACAGATATTTGACGTAGGTGATCCTCAAAATCTTCAAGTTCTCCCTCGCTTTTTGCTGAAAACTTTTCAAACTCTTCCAGATAAAGAGGCCTTTCTGCATTCTCCTCCGTGCCTGACTCAGAGTCGGTCTCAAAAAGATCTGATAGGCCTTCAGAATCTGAAGCCAACCCGGCTTTCGTCTCAAGATCATCATCAGAGTCAGATCCTCGGTTGCTTCTATCTTCTATTTCTTTCAGCTTATCTGGATTCTCCCACTGGACGTTTGAACAACTTTCAAAATCTACACTCTCTATATCTGTTTCTCGGATTTCTTCAACAGTTTCAGTGATACTTGCAGGCTTGGTCTTGGCCTTTGCTTGCAGCAACTCAAGGTCTTGTTCGAGTTTCGGAATATATTTTCTCACAGCACGGAGGCCATCTCTATACTTGGATTTATCCAGAGCCTACGCACGGGAAATGATATAACAGGCAGATAAGTAACAACTAAAGAAAAAAATTTAGAAGACACACAAGCCGTTAGAGATGATGACATTTGAACTTCGCATTGCTTTTGCAGTTATACAAATGTCTATAGCACTCTAAAATGAGAGCAATATATGGATGATTGATTGATTCCCATATGCGATCAAAGAGTAAGGTTTTCTATGAATTTTATTGGTATTTAAGATTTCCTAAGTTTGTTTAAATAAGTGAACATCTAGATTCCAATTCTCATACTTAAAGACATAAGAAAGGGGCAAAAATATAATAGTAAGAGAGAACCTTCTTCCTAGAGAGAGTTTCTCTGGGTGACATTATTTCCGTCGGCGGCTGAGAATAGTTCTTCCCTCTGTACATAATAATTGTGTTCTCCTCATGAATATCAAGCACAATTCCTCCAGTTAATCTTGCCAGTTCTGAGGCAATCTCTTTCACCTCCTCAGGTGTGAATGTCTTCACCACCACCTTCAGAGTCTGATGCTTCTTCCAGTGCAAGTGCATGTTCAGGATAACACCTTGGTAGATTCCGCGCCTACCGACCGGAACATAGTTCTTGCACTTCAGACCCATCTTCAGAAAGAAAAAGTGCTCTTCCGGAGTCAATATCTCCGGATCATGGGTTGTCTCCGATGTCTCAGCAGGCTCAAGCTTCTTAAGAGCTTTAACAAGCCTTTCCTCTTTATTTCTTGCCTGAGGGATAAAAAATTGTCCAAAGTTTTCAATCAAACGTACACTAATGTGAAATGATACTTTGGCACTAGCCAATTATGTGGGTACTCAAATTCAATTAAAAATCTTTACCTTTCTGAATTTGTAGAGAATTTTCTCTTCAGCAGTCATTCTCTCATACTCTTTCTTTTTCTTCCACCTAAAGAACTTGAGCCATCTCACAACAGCTCTTTTTCCCTTGAGCTTCGTCCTCTTCACCTTAGCATTATTACCAGCACCATCGACAGCTCCCACATTTGGGGGCTCCACAACCTTGTCAGCCATTCTTAAACACCCAACCGAGTGAATCCATCGTTGCCCATCTGAGACAAAACCCTCATTTCCAAAGCGGTGTCCCAAAGCAGACTCCTGAACCATAACAAAATCACCCAAACTTCTGCCCTGTGAGGAAACCATAAATCCCTAAATTTACTTGCACTGAAGAAACTATAAATAAGTATAAGCGGTTCAAGCTCAATACTCTATGGCCTTCAATTGCAACAAAAAATAAGCAGTACTACACAAAAAGTTCAGACTTTCATTTTAAATCCCTAAATTTACTACAAAGTAGAGAATTCAAATACAAAAAGATCCTTTAATTGCAATCATGCGTGATATATATGCAAAAAATTTAGACTTTCACACTTGCAAATGACTGAAAACAAATTCTTTATTTGATTAATCGGTATGTAATTTGGTCAATAAACAGAGAGAATAGGCAAATTGTGGAGTTATAGTCACTGAATCAAGCAAAGAAGGAAGAGAATACCTGGTTCTTCTGCAGAGAAGAGGTTGGGAGAAGAGAATTTTCAAGTGATTATGAGATCTACGGAGAGACGGTGATGCCAAGACACGAATCGCCATAGCCATGATTTCCTGTACAGAGCCAAGTCCAAAGCTTTCAAATTGTGAAAGAAAAATGCAAACTTTTTGTTGGATGTAAACTGCACTGAAGGAGAGGAGCGTGTTCAGTTTACTGTTCTGCTAGCAGGGAAGGTTTAGTTTTACTATATGGGCCTCTGGGCCTTTCTAAGTTCGAAATTTGGAACTTTGGGCTCGTCCATGTTTTACTGTGAAGGCCCAGAGTGTACGACTCTACTCTTGATCTTTATCAATACTCTTGTTTTACTAACTAACATAGTTATTTGATTACAAGTATATTAATGAAAAATAAAGGGTAAAAATTTAAATCTATACTTTTTGTCTAAAAGGATATTTGTCTTCTTTCTACATAACTTTGTTCCTTTCTGAGAAAATTATAAGAATAATCATTATTTCCAATCATTATATTTTTTTATGTCATTAAAAAATATTCTGCTAGAATATAAAAAGTATCTTATATAAAAAATATATTATATAATATTATGATAGAATATGAAATGAGAAACTTAAAATTAATAGCTTAAAAATTTCCCTAACTATATATATTTTCAATCTTTCCCACATTTTGAAGGCTAATTGCGCCTAAAGCCATGGTTTGTTTTCTTTCTGCTGCTGCTGCATTAGCGCGAAAGCTCATCTCACATTGTTCTTTAATTAAAAAAATAAAATAAAATTCATATCTAAGATTCTATTCATTATTCTTTAATTCTATTGTATTACGGAATATTTATTCCATTTTACTACAAAAATTAGGAAAAGAACGAAGATACATAAATCACATATTTTAAATATTCATCGTATTCTACAGTATTACACATAAACACAATAGTTTTTTTTTTTTTTTTTGAATTGATAAACACAGAAGAAAAATGCCACAAAACAAAATTAACTATCGCCTCGTCAATCTTGATACCTTATGTATCTTATAATAAATTATTTAACAGAGGAAGAATAAACATGATCTTAACTAGAAATATAACGTTTTCTATGCCACTTATAATCTCCGTAGATTCTCAAATAACCGTCGGTTTAGAGACATAATGATATCATTGATACTCTATTTGATTAGCGAAAAAAGCTAGAAAGCTAGCGTATGAACAAGTGACTACTATTGGTAAGAAAAATCAAGCTGATAATGAAAAGGTATTTAGACGAGAGAAATACAAAGATGATATGCGTTGCACCATCCTCTTGATCAAAAATCATACTAGAACTAGGAAGGTCATCTTACACATGATCACGAGGCTCCTCTCGTTTAATTAATTTCTTTCCTCTCCATATTGATCACCTATTCTGAGAATACAAGACGTATTTTGTATAAAAACCATATTAAACATTTGTGCTAAACTTGATCAGGTGCTAAGGGCAGCAAATCCACCACCTTTCATCATCTGCTTAAACTCCTTGAAGTTGACCATGCCATCCCCATCAACGTCAACCTTCTTTATCATCTTCTTGCAATCCTCTATCGTCCTTCCTTGCTTGAGCCCCAAGGAAGACAACACCGACCGCAACTCCTCAACGGTTATAAACCCGTCTCCGTTTTGGTCGAACACATTGAACGCTTCCCTCATGTCCTCTTCCTCATCTCTCTCGTCCATTATCGTCCGATACAATACACCAAATTCATCGATGTCGACATATCCATCGCCATTCACATCGATCTTATCAATCATTTGGGCCAAGTCCTTGTCGGGGATATAGATTCCAAGGTTCTCTAATGAGTCGCTTAGCTCTTTCTTGGTGATCCGGCCATCTCCGTTTCTGTCGAACATATGAAACACTCGTTGAAGTTCTGCAGGGTCCATAATCGGAGGAAGAAATTAATTAATTGTGGTGTGGAGAAGAGGAAGAGAGAAGAAATTATGTTTTTATGTGAGAAAGAGAGAAACACAGAAGGGGTGTGGAATTAATAAAGAAGGTTGGGGAATGGAAAATTTTGGGAGGTAATTATGGTTGGAGGAAAGGTAGTTATAAAGAGCTAGAGAATGTGTGGTGGAAATTGGATTTTTTTTTTTTTTTTAGGAGTTGTTGATCAGGAAATGTGGACAAAAGGATCTAATGGTAGGAATGGAAACTACCTAACTCCTAAGCCCTCTTTAAGCCAAAGGCCCCCTCGTTATTAGAAAACTCTTAACTAATTACCCGTAAAAACCTCAAATTAATCAGAAACTAATTAAGAATTTAAAAAACGAATCCTATATATCAGGACTCATCTTAATTCTAGAATATTTGCAGGACTATTTTTATTTTTAAAATAAAACTAAAAACTGAAATCAAGACAGTAATCTCTAATGTTTTTTATTCTTCCGAACCAATATATATATATATATATATATATATTAACAAGTTTGACAATCTCAAGCCGATAAGTGTCATTGTTCTCGGTCAATAGTCAGTAGTCCATAGTCCATTGTCCAAAACGAACGGCATTATTTTGCTGAGTCGCAAAGAGAGACCGAAGTGAACCTTTTTTTTTTTTTTTTCCATTGACGACTAAATGCGCACTTTGCGTTGCTCCATTCGCTCGTCACCTATTACCCTTTTCATATCACCAAGCTAATAGGTAGATATTATTATGTGTTTTAATTTCTAAACATTCTTACAAGCCAATTGAAGCTTTTTTCCGATGACCAAGTAGTTGCACACTTGGCTTTGCTCCACTAGTTAAATAAAATGACCTAATAATGCGCGTTTAAAACACTCTTACAAATGCCCTATTGCCCTTATTTTCAAACATGCTTACCCAAAATCCATTCAACTTGCATTTTATCTCAGGATCTCTATTAAAAATTGTCGTGCATATTTTTTTTAAATTGTCTATTCGTATATTTTTTTCGGAGCCCTGCTCTCTCTCTCTCTCTGTTTTTTTTTTTAATGTTTTGTCACGGGTCGTCTCAAAAGAGATTGACCCACATGTTTTGGTCAAAGTCAAGGAAACTTTCTTGATCATTCGTACTTATTCAATCCATCAAGAAGAAGTCCTGAGAACCAAGGAAATCGAAATACTTATTGGGCATTTATAGTCCAGCCATGTGCCCAATAAGATCATGGAAATGAAGGATCATTTGGGCGAGTAAGCTGGACATATTCTAAATCTTAGAACTTCATTACTATTGCAAACGAAGAAATTGCCTCAAAACATTGGGTTTGTTTTGGGACAGAGTGCGTTTGCTTTGAAACCAAATATTCTACCTTTATTTACATTCTCACATATAATACACCACAGATTATAAAACATATAAAAATATCTTTTAAAAGAGAAGCCTTCAGAGTCGAAGTAAAGAGATTAGAAAATTAAAACCGAAAAAACAAAAATATTAGAATTGAAAAAGAAAAAGAGAGAAAACGGGGGAGACAGAAGAGGGGTAGAAATGTGCCAGTAGTAAAAGGGCCTGAAATATGATGAAGAGGTCAAATTCCGGCGAGTGGTACTGACGAATTTGCATTTCGCAAGGTTTTGAAGGATTAATTGCCTGGATCGTTGTGAAAATCAAGATCCAGTCAAGAAGCTGTCCTTGCCTTTTTCCCTCCTTTTACGTATTCCATAAGGAAAGAGATTAAAACAACAGAAAGAAAAAATAAGTGCATCGAAAGAAAATTGTAAGAATTGAGCAAGAGATTTTGAGAAAAGAGTTAACTTTCTACTAGAAATTTAGAGATCGAAGAGCAAGACGCCATGGCTGATATTAGATTGTCACGTTGGATTATATATATAGTGCCGACTATTGAAACTAGGGTTTTGATGGGGTGGGGATTTGAAGAGGAGCATCCGGGTCGTATTTCGTCAGTTTAACGCATTATTAATGGGCTGGACTGACTTCTATTGTCTGAGCTTCTAGGAGAGGGCCCAATCGGTAAACGACGAGGTTTTCTGTCGTTTTAAAAAAGACATGTTGTACTGACTACAAACTTAGCTGTCGTTAAGTGAAGTAAACGGCATTTCGAATTACACAAAACGATGATACTTTTCGTTAAAAAAGGGAATGACATTGTGCGTGTTTCAACGGTTTTTGAAAACGGTTTGAAAATGAAAATAAAAACAAAACGACATTTGTTTATTAAATAATTTAAAAATAAAAATAGTGAGAATAATTTTTGTAAAAGAATTAAAAAATAGTTGAAATTTTTTTTTATTTTTTTATTTTTTTATTTTATTTTTTAATATTTATCAATAATATTATAATATATTAATTAATAAGCATGATTTTACTTTTTTATTATAGTCAAAATAATTTCTTAAAAAATCAACCAAACGTAATTTTAAAATTGGTTTCAAAATGATTTTTAAAATAATCTCATTTTTATTTTTCATTGAAAACAAAAGTATTTTTAAACCAAGGTCTCGTTCATTTCACTTATTCGAGTTTTTAATTTTAGGTTTCTACAGTAAAAAATTATTAGAAAATGTCACATCTAACTTTTTCTACTACAGTGAAAAACTCTCAGAAAATGTCACATCTCAGCTCAAATTGAAAACTTAAATCCGTGAAGTGAACGAGACCTAATTCTAAACGCACCCATTGTGTTTTGGTCGGGAAATGAATTTTTTTGTTGATAGCATGCTCGGGAAGTGTCTTTCATCATGCAATGCTGTTTGTTTATATAATTTTTTTTTTTCAAAAATTTAAACGTCGTTTGCTTAGAAAACAATAAAAATAAAAAATAAAAGTACTTAGAAACTGGCATTAATTTGAGAAACATCGTATCTCTTAAGAACATGTATTTGTCCCAACGAGTAATTGGTATTTGGAGTTTATTATCTTCTGTCATTCAAATTGAAAAATAGAAATGGCATTTGTCGTTTACACACAAACCGACGTGCCGTCTCTATTTGTTATACTGTAGATAACGTATCGTCATTTTTTTTTTTTTTTGAGGATACTATCATCGGATTAATAGTGTGGCTTATAGTCTAAAATTTTGAGCATTCAAGTCAATAAAAATTAAGTTTGCTGTCGTTTATTCTTAATGGCTCGTCATTTGTTTCGAAGAGAACGTGTTTCTTTCCTCAAGAATATTATCCTTAATTTATAACACGTAGTTTTTCTCCTAAATTTAGCTGTGTGAGAATTTCGTTTTTCTCCTAAAGTTGGCTGTGAGAGAATTGCTGTCGTTTATTTTAGAAACTACATGTGGTTTGAGTGACGGTTGATTTTGCTGTTCTTACACCGGAAAACGACATGTTATTCAAAGTTTTTAGAATAGCAAGCTTGTCCTTCCCATTAAAACAACATATTTTTCTTCTATATTGTTTCCTGTCGTCTAAGCAATATTATCCATTAGACAAACAGAAGCGCGAGGCACTACCTTGCATACTATCAGCACAAACAATTATCAACTGAAATATTGAAAAAGAAATTGATACAGAACCCCTATGGACGAATTTACTCATAGGGTAAGGAGGCAAAGAATCTAATAAAAACTGATTCCAACATATGTTAATTTTTCACACAGAAAGGAAAGCAAAAAAAATAGTAATTAGTACTTCAAGGAGCCTCTTCAAACAACTCACCATGATTCCAACATCTGTTGCAAAAATTTTAAAGTTGCATTACCAAGTCAAAGCTCCATAGGAAAGAAATGAAACAAGCAGGCAAACACGCATCTATGTTATTACTCACATTTCAAGCTTCCTATCTCCATTATGTTGGGTTTTAATTGACCATGTGGGCTTATATGTTTATTATTGTGTGTTAGAGGCTATCATATTAGGTTGGGCCCATTTAAAGTGATATGATAAGGTTTTAACTATTTTGGGCTTTAATGCACCTAATTAAGTGTGGGCCTTTTATGTGTAGAGACTAAAACATTATTTCTATTTTTATGATGGGTCAAATTAGAAATAATGAAAGTTAATAGGCAGTTAACTTATATACGGTTATGGTTCTCAAATCACACGTACGTTTTCATTCAATTCCTAACATCCCTTCATCAGAGAGAATAGAGAGAATTCAAAGGAAACTCTAAAGGACTACGTGTAGATTTGGAAGACTAACCGCAAGGCTTGTGATTTGCTTCCATCATGACTGATTCAGGTATGCTTCCGCTTAGATCATAAATTCTTGGTGATACAACATGAACGATCCGGTATTTAGTGAAAGTTTTCACCCTAAAGCAATTTCTCTAACACATTAGTCACTTATGGAGCAGCCAGTTGAAGAGAACTTTGCTAGCTAGATTATCTAGTACATCTATACGTAAAATTAGGTTCGTGAGGATCAACGACCGTCAGCAAATTTCTTACACCATCATTCCCCCTTTTTTTTCCACACACTAACATTCAATTTAGCCAGTCCTAATAATAACAGCCACTTTATCAGCCACAATACAGCTAGCCACAAGACAAATTCCTATACTAATCAATCTGAAATTGATCAGAAGTTCTCAATTCCTGTTAAAAGTGTACGAGTATCAACCTTATTAAAGCTATTGCATTAGCTAATGTCAGGCTTTGGAACTCCAAGAACTCCATGAAATGAAATCCCTTGTACAACTACAAACGAAAAACTATACTTGTAAGACGTGTCATCTATTAGCGGGAAGAATGTGAGACTAATTCTTGAACTTTCACTCTAAACACTTCAACAGAGAAACCCTGTATCAAAAGCGGATCTTAAGTCGCATATTTCCAACGAGCAAACTATTAGGTCACCTTTTCATTCTCATGTCACTCATAGTAAGAAATCTCTATACCACATAACACAATTCCAAGTCAAAATGAAAGTTTTGTTCATTCTTTCGGATTGGACATCCAACATCACAATAGAACTTTCCCATGGAATTTTCCTCGATTAATTCCCAAGAAAATGAATCCACAGAACACTAAAGATAAAACATTATTTCATTACATACGACATTTCAATTCGAATAATCAGGAAACTACAGGTCAACTCTTTCAGAATAACCACTCATGTCAGGTTAATTGACAATTAGAGTGATGTGATGAATAAAGATTTCACTTATTAGCCATTTAGAATCAAGCTGAAATTTTGATTTCTTTCTAATTCTAATAACTCCCCAGTAATCAAAAGCTTAATCAAAAAGTGCAAATCAATCATAAAGGAAAATTATAGAGAATTCACGCAGGTAAGAACAAAACAAACATCCAATGAAACGAAGTAATCAAATTGAAAAGACGATCTTATACAGAAGCCAGTCACATTATATCAAGATGTAATGGTTTTTTCACGGTTCAACAAAAGAGCAACCACATTATTACTTTTATATCCAAACACCGAACAAAAAAAGGAAGAATTGGAATTTGGAAACCCTGGCTTCTTCGTTTCTCAAACAAGAACCAAAAGAAGGAGAAGAACTTAGGGGATGTCCCAGGGCTTAGGCTCGGGGACGGCGACGACCATACCTTGGAGGTCGGGCGTGAGGACGACCTGGCAGCCGAGCCTGGAGTGCTTGTTGAGAACCCTAACCCTGGAGTTCCTCTTGAGGACGTACTCCTCGTCGTAGGAGCGGGGCGGGAGCCTCTCGAGCCACTCCTGGGCGATGTTGACCTCGCACTCGGCGGAGCAGGCGTCGATCTCCTCAAGGCGGTGGGAGGCCGGGTCGATGAGGCCGGCGTTGGCCAGGGTCTTGAGGAGCGTGTGGCCGGTAAGGCCGACGACCTCGCGCTTCACGCCGTCCGGATCGATGGCGAAGAGCTTCACGATGCGATCGGCGACCTTCTTCGATGAAGACGACGGGGTCGAGGCCGCGGCTGAGGCTGAGGCTGAGGCTGAGGATCGAGAAATTAGAGACTTTGAGTGGAAGGACAGAGAGGGAAGGTGGTGGATTTGGGCGGCGAGTCTCTGGAGGTTGTTCGCGACGGCCATTGTTTTGGGGAGCTTTTGGTTACCTTCACCTTGTGCTCGATTGGGGCCTTTTCGGTACAAGGCACTTTACTAGTGCTCCGCCGCAGGCCTCGGTGTATGTGGATTGTGGACTTGGAGTAAAAATAAATAAATAAATAAATAAATAACACACACTCACACGCGCGCGCGCACACACACACCCACCAGAGAGAGGGGGAAAAAAGAAAACAAAAAAATTTGTAATTCACCTTAAAATAAGAGAGATTATGTGGTAGGATAAAAAAAGTAAATTTCGGACGCGTTTGAAACTCGTTTCAAAATAATTTTATTTTTTTATATGAAAATGAAAATATTTTTAATCACATATATAAATTATTTTTAAAAATGTGTTTGATAGTTTTATCAATAGATTATTTTCAGTGTAAAAAACTCATTAATGTTTCTCTCTCTCTCTCTCTGCTCGAGAGAGGATAAAACGAAAACAAAAAATAAAAAATGACTCTCATTTTACACTAAATCAAAAAATCATTTTCATTTTCTTTTTTTGTCTTTATTGCGCCAAACGTTGTTTTGAAAACGTTGTCATTTTTTCTTTCTCAAAAAACGTGAAAAATAAAACAAGATCAATTCCAAACACGACCTACGTTTCTTATCTTTCTGTCGTTATATATGTATCATAAACTATCTGTTTTTCATACATTTTTAATTTAATGTGATTTTAATTAAATTTAAAGATCAAAAATCAAGTCTTACTAATAAGACAGTCTATCGGAGAAGCTCCTAAATAAATGAAAAAGGATTTTTTGTATTTATTTTCTATTATTATTTGGATTAATTTTACTGATGGTCTTTGAATTTTAAATTATTCTCATTTTACCATCTGAATTTTAAATTTGTCCATTTAAGCCCGTTTGTAAGAATTTTGGTTGAAATTAGACCCAAAAAGGGGAGGGTTAAGTGTTGCTACGTGATTTTTATCTGTTTGTTTCTTTTACATAATTTCAAATAGAAAGATTTTATGACTGTATTACTCTTTTTTTTATATGTTTTTAATAGAAATTACAACAAAAGAGTTTAAGTGAGAACAATTTAAAGTTTTAAGGACAAAGTGAAATTTTTAATGTTCGAAGGGGAAACTGGGAGAGGTTTCAACAGAGGATACAAACGAAGAGGTTCAGCAAAGATTCCAGAAGTTCACTTAAGAAACTTCAGGAGACGGAGAAAATAATCACAGTGACAGTAAAAAAAAAAAAAAAAAAAAAAAAAAAAAAAAAATTCCAACCTCTCAAAAAAATTTCCCCCCCCCCAAACAAAAAAAAAAAAAAAAAAAAAAACAAGTTCCAATCTCTCAATAACATTGTCCTCCCTCCAAATGACTTGACTACACATTCTAAGCTATGAAGGTTTGAAGTGCAAACTAATCCACCTTTTTCCCCTTCTCTCTGTTTAACTAAACGCAAAACGCAGGTTAAAACTTTGAGTGTCTTCAGCTAAATAATTCATCAAGTAAAATTCAATATATCCATGGCCAAGAAATAACCGTAAACAAGAGAAAGCTAGAATTTTCAGGCCATGTAAAATTAATTATCACCCCTCTTTTGGGATCGTACCAATCGAGCATTTTCTTTCATTCTTTCTCATATGCCGTAGAAAGTGTCCAATCAATAGGCGAGGAGGCAGAAGAAAAAAAAATACCCTCCCTTCCAATTCTGCAGGGACCAGGAGATTGGATCTAGACATTTCAAGCATCCAGCCATAGCATAAATGCAAGCATCAATAATTCTTTGCGAATAACATCCACCACATTGTGATTGTTTATTGTTAATTTTCACCTGTGGTTACATTTCGAAACAAAACTTATAGAGACTGAGTTCTCTGGCCGCACAACCTTAAGATTTCACAGGAACACATCCATATACTTGCCAACATTGAAATGCTATTGAAATGCTCAGGAAAACCGATGCATACTACTTCTGCTGTTCAGAAAATGTTTTATTGACAACATCGGCCTTGAACAGCGAATGGTGCATAATCCACTTTCTCCTGATTGCCCAACACCATATCAGCAATCATTTCAGCAGTCCCCAGAGCCTAGCAATAAGACCAAGATGAGAAATGAACAATCTTCCAAGTTTCTGTACAATGGAAACAACAATAAATGATATTTGCTAAATCCTTGAAACTTTTCTAGAACAGATAAGTCACTGACCCGCCTGTGTTAGTTCAATAATGGTGGATAGATTTAAAACTAGATAAATTCTGGAAAATAATTCTTGATTTTTCTTTTTAACATCTTTAGCAGAACAGTAAAGAATATCACCATCGAAAGCCCGCCGCCTTCATGTCCAGTTGCTAGCAACACATTTGACAAACCTGTCACGGGCCCAATTACTGGCTTCCCATCAGGCACTGAGACATCAAGGATTGACTTTCTTTGTCAATTCCACATAACTATATACCATAAAAGTAGAGTTTCTTTCTTATTAGGTTAAAAAAAATATTGAAACTCACTGCAAGGCCGTAGTCCTACTCTCACTTCTCTTCTCTTAATGAAATCAGAGAGGGAGTGTTCTTTCAATTTGGGAAAGAAATCCGTAGCTCGCTCCCATATACGATTAGTGACAGATTCTTCCATCTCAGTGCTAAAACCAGCAAACTCTCGGCTACTCCCTGAAGGCCAAATAACCAAATTAAAGATAGTTTCGTCAAACTATACTGGAATTGGAGAATTGAGAACAGAAGTAACTAAATCTTACCAAGGAGAAGGTTTCCCAAGGTATCGATGGTGGCAGTCATCGAAATAGACAAGTTTTGTCTATGATCAGATACTTCGGAAGTCAATCTCCCAGGAAGTTGAGTTGCAGTTTGGTGAGCAACATATCCGACTTCCATCAGAGCATGATTTAGTTGAAGGTAGCTGAAGTTCTTAAGCACTAGCAGGTGACCCTGTGATGTAGATAAATAACAGTTAGCTCAAGCTCGTTGACCTTTCCGAGCTTACATAGCGGAAACAGCCATGTCATTCAGATTATGTGTCGGATGTCTGAGTTTAAAAGAAAGCTTGTTGTCGTGAAAAGGTCCAGTCCTAAATCATATAAATTTACAGAAAACTTTGGTGGGCAGGAACAAAAGGTTTCTAGTGTCTATTCCCATTCGTCCCAACCAAAGCAACGTAAAAAGATTGTTTGGCTAAACAAATTTAGAAACGTCTAAATATACACAAGAATAAGTCAGTATGCAGATAAGATTCAAACCTTTCGAGGTTTTACAGGGACATTTAATACAATGTCTAATTCTCTAAACAGGTCCTGTGTCAAAGAGCCACTCCAACAACCAGCTGCTACAACAATGACCTTTCCGTGTAATGTATTCTTTACAGTCTTAACACCTACGACCTCATCGCTGCCACCAGATCTGGGTACACATAAGAGTAACAACAGTCATCCTAACAACATATATGACTTCCTTGATGCAGTTTCCGTTCTCAAGTTCTCTTGGTCTGCCATTACAACCACAAGCACAATAAAAAATGATGATAACAGACCTTAATAAACTTGTAACTGGATCATGAAAGAACTCGGTGTATCTGCCTTGCGTCGAAAAATTCCTGTTCGCCTACAAATTTGATCCATAACTATAGTGGGAAAACACTACAGAGATCGCAGATAATTTAACGACTAAGCAATAGCATGAAACTATTTCTGAAGGAAAGGAAAATAAGGCGAGAGAGAGAAACCTTCAAAATAACATCGATAGCTCGTCGAGCATCCAATTGGCAGTCATCAGGCACAAAAGCAGCCCCACTATCTTTTTCAACCATGAGAGCCGGTTCCTTCAGAAGCAAGTCACTGGCAGACAGGTACTCTGATCTCAACCCAGCATCACTAAGCAGCTTCACCCGCCTTTTCAAAACATCCAACTCTTCCGGAGTTCTACCAATTAACAAGCTGCCTATACAACACATTCACCATTATCAACAATTACTCCAATGGCAACACATCTTCTAGAACCACAATGAATCCTAAAGTTTGAATTTTGAGTTGATTGGCATTCTAACAACGCGATGAACAATTAGATTTAAGGAATCATGAATGTCATCAAATTAAGAAAAAACAGAAGCTTGAAAAAAAAAAAAGTTTTACATCTTTTTATTTATTTATTTACTTTTTTATACCTGTGTTCTTCCAACCCAAATGGTCTTGAGGATTCATGCCTTGTTCATGGAGACTCTCGGCAAACATCCGCCATAGCTCGTGGCTTCTCATTGCTAATTCCCATATATCACTACCAGGGGTCTTGTGCGCCATCCATAAGTAACCCTGCCCTAAAACCGATCAAATTCAGCCACGGAAAAAGACATAGAAAAATTTACTCTGTTTGAATCAGACACACACACTTGTCGTCACACGCAACATTCTCTCGGCAGCCAAACAAGGAAACCGATAGCGGCGAAAACGACGTACCAGCACCGGTGGCGCCGGAGCAAGGGACTGCCTTGTCGACGACGGCGACCGACAGGTCCGACCCGAGGAGGAACTGCCGGGCGATTGTCAACCCGATTACTCCGGCACCGATAATTACGACATCGGAAGTGTGGGAAGATGACGAGCATGTCAGGTTCGGACGCGAGCAAGTCAACGGATCAGTTCGATTGGATCGAGCTTTGTCGGTCAACGAGAGCCATTTCTTGGGGATTTTGGAGCCGACGAAGCTTGATTGGTAGGAGAAACTACAGAAAGGAGATCTTGGAGAAGAAACGAAGTAATTTCTGCGTAAACTAGGATGTGGGCAAGAAGTTGAAGCTGTAGCCATAACTTTCTTTTCTTAGTCAGTTTCGCCGTCAACTGGACAGTGCTGGACACCAGTTACGAGCATCTCGTCCTGGAACTCTTCTGCCAGTAGTTGCTATTACAAAAAGGCCCTTGGTATTTTTTATTATTATCATTATTTTATTTTTTTTTTAGCAAAAGAGTAAATCGGTGCTGTGCATATTGTAAAACCCAAGTATTAATTCTATGGTGCTTCACTCACACGTGAGAAATTTGCTAGAGTGACTAACAATACCAATAAGAATAAGAATAATTAAAAAAAAAAAAAAACTCATTTCCATTGCTTTGTGAATTCAGCAACTGTTAATGATCAATATCGGATACAATATCAGATATAAAATCAATATATACCCTTACAAAGGACCAAAACAAAAAATAACTTGGTGCAACCTTTTGAAGAAAACTCAGTCTCTATTAACAAACCAAAGTAGGATGACTTGCATTAGAAAAGCCTACTTTGTTTTCCCTCCAAATACGTTTGAAGTTAAATGGGAGAAGACTATCTCAAGCATAGAAAATTCCCTTCTCTGCATTGGTTAGTGGGTCTTATCTTCAAAAAATGAATCGAAACATCAAAGCTCATCGAGATTAATCATATCATCATTGGACCAGTAAATTTCTTTGGGAGTTGCTTTAGAATGAGCTTCTGTGAGACAGTCAGAATCTTCCAACGCTCTGTCCAAGGACTCTCCTAAGTCTGCTTCCCATATGGGCAACTTACAGACCCTCTTGTAAGTCTCATAAGAAGCTGCTCTCAGGCCCTCGGAAACCAGCTCCCTTAAAGACCCAGTGATCTCTTCACTGTTATTCATAACATCCAGAAAGGTTTCAGCCAAGCCAGGTTGCCAGAAAACAAGGATGGCACAACTTTTATCCACTAACCGAATATCGAACTCTTTGGAGGATACGTAATGTGACTTGTTGAGCAAGCTCTTCAGCTTTCCAGCAGTCGTCCCGCTTCCAAATCCCCACAAGAAAACCAAATGCTCACAGCTGACTTTTCTTGTGCTCTCTGTCCAGACACTGATATCCTCGTCGATTGATTCTTCAGAGCTGGTAGAGAATGCATTGAAAACGTTTGTACACTCTTCAAGAGCCGGAGCTAAAAGTACATCATTCCCCGACATGGTGGAACTGCTCCCAATTTTGAGAATGGAGCAGAGCTTTGCAAATAAATGACATATTCTTATGACATTAAGCCCATGATTCCTGCCTTCATTTTCTGTGGCTGTAAACCCCAAACACGGTACACAAAGTCATTGTAAGGTGTCAAAAACTTTTGAGATTAAAAGAGGAGAATAAAGCCTGGCAATTAAGCATGTTTATAGTTTTGTGGGACTAACGTGTGTATCAAGACAAAACAGAAAGAATAACTACCTTGGTGAGAGATTTCAATATCAACAGGCGCAAAGAAATGATTGTTCAGGTAGGAAATAGCTACAGGTATATTGGCCACTTTTCTTAGAGGACGAACAACCTTCATCAGATGGCTGACATCAAGAACATGGGGGAAAACCGGGCGTAAAGAGCTCGCAAACTCATCTATGGTGGGAGGTAGAGGAGCAAGGAATTTCGAGTGAATAAATGTAAAGTCTGCATTAAAAAAACACAGAGCATAAGATGAAAATTAAACCAATATTAAAGATAAAATCAATTCAGGTAAATTTAACAATCAGAAATATAACTAGAGATACACCAGTAAGGGAATTGTAGGAGACAACAGGTTTCTGTGAAGCAGAAATCAAATCGATCACCTCTCGAAATCCCCGAAATTTCTTGTTTTCTTCCTCTTCACGGCATCGCAGCTCCTCCTGCCATTTTCAAAGCCAAAAAAAAAAAAAAAAGAACTTTATGCACACAAATCTTGAGCAGACATTATCACTAAGAAATTAGTAGTTGATCACTACCTCAAAAAATTCCTTATCCTCTTTTGAGCTTGCTAAAACCACACGGACTGCCTGGGTTCCTCCACTCTTTGCTGGGATTAGTAAAGGAACAAGTTCATCAGAGAATTCTCTTAACACCTGCAGCCAATCCAGTAGGGAAAAAAAAGACCGAACCTATGTTATCTATTTTATCAAACTCGATGCTAGCTTCCAACTGCTTCAAATAAAGTGTTACCTCTAGAACAAGTTGCACTTGACGTTCACTGCAAACATCTAAATTGATGGATGGTCTAGACCCATAATATTCACTTCCCATAATAAGTTTTCTTAATGAATTCATCAGAACCTCTGCAAATTGAAAATTGGATGACACGTTTGAAAAGAAACAAAAACATATCAGATGTTTAAAAAAAAAAAATCTATAAGCAACATTTTCCTTACCATTTCTGCTATCCTTGGGTTTTTGACACGCACTCTTCCAGCGAATAACTCGTGATTTTAATCTTTCCATGAATATAGAATCAGCAACACTAGGGGCAAAACTAGAATCAACTACAAGAGTGCTGGGACTCGGATTCCCTATCCGAATTTTAGCTGCAGTTTCTTGTTCTCTAGACAAGTAAGATATACCTGCGAAATTGGAGAACATTACATGGGATGGGATATCTCAAAACCATAAAAAATAAAAAATAAAAAATAAAAATGGTTTGCAATAACCAATTTAAAATTTTTACGTAGATCTCTATTTTGAATCGCTAAATCTCTATTTTTAGTAGTCAAATCTATGATCAAATATAAACAACTGAGCATAATTTTGAACCTAAACAATTAAGCAAAAAATATAACCATTAACACGTTCCTAAACTTAAACATTTGTATCATCTCAACTTGAACCTCCCTGAAAAACTCCTTTGGCAAAACTTTTAACAAAAGAAACATCATCCATATACTTGTAAATCAGCTAATTGAGCGCTCAAACGTTCATAAGAACAAAAGGACTTACCGTGATAAATGCAGGCATTAAAGTCAAAACCTTCTCGAGCCATGGAGGTCAAATGCGAACTTTGGCACGAGAAACTGTAAGATGGCATCCCCAATTTCAGTTCATCCCTAGGGTACAACAAATAGTTATACCTGCAACAACAGAACAAAACGAAACCAAGAGAATATCATTTGAATATATAATTCCTCAAGATTTATCCTTTTCCGTTTTCTTTGCTTGAAATTACAAAAAGCGGTACACTCACGGGTGAGCGACGAGCTTGGAGTTTTCAAGGGAGAAAGGGCAAAGGGCGAACTGGAAGAGCTGAAAGCGCTCGGCGGAGGACTTGGCCTTGGAATAGGCCGTGTCGGCGGTGTCGAAGGGCAGGAGGCGGTGCCACGGCGCCGAGAACGAGCCCGTCTTTTGCAGCGACACGGCGACGAAGTCGGAGCTGGAGATGTGGCGCTTTATCTCCTCCAAGGATTCTGGGAAATTGGTCTTGGTCACTTGCTTCACCGGCCATTTCTTCGGGACCGCGCTGCAGAAGAGGCGTTTCTGCAACACCGCCATTTTTGTTTTGCCGCTGCTTATTGCGTAAAACAGTAGAAGGTGATTGTTTTGTAGCTCGTTTGCTTTTCAGTTGAGTCGTATACCTAAGCTGCTGGGGGGAGGAAAAGAAATAATAATTAAAAAAGGCGAAATTGTTTGCAAGAGATGATCTTTTGTAAAAATGAATTTTACCGTTTTTTCTCTCTTAATTTTTCACTTATTTAAAAATAAAAAGATTTTACCATTTTTACGTTTCGTGTCGTTCGAGAAAATGTTTGCGTTCGTAAAGTTGTCGTTTTAGAATTTATATTCACTTGAAAGACAAAGGACATGTTTACTTATTCGTAATTCTCTTTCTGCCAATCTGCTGCATCCTCGAATGTTTTAGCAGAATGGCTGCAATGCTAACTTTCTTTTAATAATATTATTAAGTCTTCCACGAGATTTAGATCTTGCTATACCCCGGATATTCCAGATAAGAGCTTTCATCATGAAGTTACTGGAAGTGGGGATGAGCTACATCTTGCTGTACTGATCTAGATTTAGTAAGGACATCAATCGGAGTGGACAAAATTCAGAGTGAGAGGAATCGGAATTAGAAATTTGAGTCAAAATAAGTTGTTTACTTAGGTTCCAGGAATTAGAATCGAAATCAATCCCAATCCTATTCATGTATTTACTTACACTCAGAATCAGAATAAACTGTTATAAATTTACTTACCTACCATTTTAGTAGATTTTTGTGTGTTGAACTTTAAAAAAAAATTGTATATTATGCTAACTATCTTAATATTAGAATAACTAACTAGTAATTAGATTTTTTTAATCACACGCATATCGTGCATTGAATCTTCACATCCTGGTAAGACATATATAAATTGCATGTCTTGTGAACAAACTCCTAAGATATTAGTAGCAATCTTATTTTTCCTTATTGTATATCTTGATTTGTCTACTTCTGACACACGAACTCTTACATACGTTCCATCCAATGCTCCAAAACAATTTTACATTATTATGAAAAAGAAGCATAAAATTTTAAGAACACAAATATAATTTAAAACAATTTTTTTCAAAATAATAATAAATAAAACACATACCTTAAACCACTTCCATTTAGGGTCAGTTGAGTCCTCCAAAACTGGTTCTGAGTTTTTCTAAAATTCTTTTTGACACCGAATAATTGCTTTTAAACACTCGTGGAAACATTTACTAATCGTTCTTCCGGATCTCTTAAAATTGAAACTAATCATCATGTTCTTAACATGATGTGCTAAGATGTGCAAAAACATTGCAAGCATCTCCTCAACATATACATTTCTTGTGCTTGTCAAACCTCCTTTCTCACATAGAAGCTTGCATAAAATTCTAAACGTTTCTCTATCCATTCTTAATTGTGCTACACACTTGATATCACTCTTGTAAACCAAATCATACAAATGACCTAATTGTTGATAAACCCTTATAACCATCTTTGAACTTTGTATCCTTCGTTCATAATAAATATAAATACAGGTACACATAGCAGCACACACAGCCATAATCATTTGTAACATCATAACTATCTCTTTTATCACTACAACTATTATCTTCTTTCATACTAAAAGTCTAGACATGATTACTCTACATTATCAACATATAAAATTAGATTTAGTATTACATTGTATATTATAAAAATGAACAACAATAGGCATAACACAAGAATCAAATTATAAGAAAAAAAGAAAAAAAAAAACTAGAGAACATTGGTATTGTTCTCTTTACATTTTTGTCTTATGCATGTGCTTATCTGATTTAGAAGGCCTCGTTCCAATTAAAATTATTTTTTCAACTGTCCCTGACCATTGTTATTTCAATTGAGTGTAGGAGATGGTATTTGACGTTGCTAACAAACTCCTATTACTGTTGATTTGGGTCAAATTTAAGATAATGTTCTGCGTCAATATTATCGTTTTATTTGGGCATCATGTCTATTCCTTACCCACAAACTAAAGCAAAACGAAAATAAAAATAAAGGATGAATTAATGGCCTACCTTATCAACGTGTTCAACCCAAACAAAAAAAAAGCAAAATGAAAACAAAAATGAAGGATGAATTAATGTCCTACCTGCAAATTGAAGAACCGGCCGGGCAGAAGAAAAGAATAGGAGATGGTAAATGGCTGAGAGAGAAAGAGGGAAATAAACCCTAGAGAGTTAAATAAAGGAGAAAATTTAAGAGTAAATTCGTAACTTTGTATTTAATATCAAGAATGAGAGTGACAATCCGGTGGGGGGAGTGCCAATCCGGTGGGAGGTGAGGGGAGTGTCAATCTCATTCTTCAACCCTAAATTGGTGTGAGATTCACATATTTTTACTCTCATTTCAGGATATAAATAAGTAAGGCCCTGTTCACTTCGTTGATTCGAGTTTAGAATTCAAGTTTTTCTACAGTAAAAAGCTCTCACAAACAATCACATCTAACTTTTTTGCTACAGTAAAAAGCTCTCACATAAAGTCATATCTCAACTCAAATTCTAAACTCGAATCAGCGAAATGAACGGACCTTAAGTAAACATAAAGTTAATTTTGAATCCCAATTCTCATTCTCTATTCATGATTAGAAAACATGCCAAAAATGGATATTGATGCGTTGTCTCCCTTAAAAAAAAAAAAAAAAGATTTCATGGAAGAAAGAGAATAGCACTTCATTTCAATATCTTGTCGTTTTTCTGAAATAGATTTCTGTGCTTTTGAAGTACCGTTTATATTTGTCGTCCTGTCGTTTCAAAAGTGTTGCCCTTTTGTCGCTTGTCCTTTAGAATTTTCCACATCCCTTTTCATAAAATGTTGGGAGAAATCTAAAACTGCACTCAGATGGTGTTATTTTATATTTACATCATTAAATGGTATAAACTTAAAAATAAACTACTCAATTCACTTAAAATATATAATTTATTTATGTTCAATCACATAAATATAAAGTTTCAGATTCCGATGGCAAAATCTGTGATATTCCTATATTGTCTTTGTTTTTATAAAGGTTTATTGATTGAAACAAACGTCAAATTTAATATACTGTCATGAATTCTTCTTTTGGTATTATTGTCGTTCAATAGAGTTTTGACAATGTTGCCGTTTGTTAAATAGTTGTTTTCATAGACTGATGCCGGTAAAACGGACGTTGTCGTTTACAAACTTCTTGTCGTGTACAGTGTACTTAAAACTATTGCCGATTTGCCGTCTTTAAGGTGTCGTCTTTTCCTGAGACGATCGTCGTTCTCAAGGCGTTGTTTCACGCCATTTTCATATTGTCGTTGACGAAAGCGCGTCGCCGTTGTTGGGCCACTTCAATCTACGGGCTGTTATCTAGCCCACAAAGATAAGGGGAGCCCATTCGGGGCCCAAAAGAGGCGGTTATATGTTTGTTCAATGTCTGCCTGCCAAGTTGCCCCGTCCAGAATTAGGGCATTTGAGCTTTGCTTGTACCACTGACATACCATTACATACATCTGCGAACTGCGAACCTCAGAAGAAAGCGACTCCATCATCTCCTCCGTCCCAACCAGCCTGTTATCGTTCTCCGATCTCCTCCGCCGACTCGATTCTCCGGCGAAGGTTCGTCTATCTCCATTCTCTATATCCAAGTTTTTGTATTTTATTCTGTGTTCATATCATATTATCTCCTTGATTATTCATGATGTCACGATGATTGCTACTTTCAAAACGCTAATGGAGTTCTTGGTAAAAAATTTCAGCTCGTGTTTTTACTCGTGTCATATTTTCTTTGGGAAGCTTGGCTATCGATTTCGGTTTTAATTGTTTGATTTTCCTGTTTTGATCGTTATCTCTTAGTTGGTTGCTTTTTCTTTGTTTTCATTTCTTCCTTCTTCTTCTTTTCCTTTTTTTTCCCCAAAAGGTTGAGAATTGGTCTTTTTATTAGCTGTTTACTCTTGTTGGTAATTTAATTACGTTTGTGAAATTCAATCTTATTCCAATTGTTTGACATTTAAAGCGACTTGCTTTTATGTTTATTGTTTAACTTAGGTTTAGCTGTGATTTGGTCGAATGTTTTAGTTAGGTTCGCCTGAGCTTTGTATGTTTAAGTTTAACAAGATATTTGTTGTTAGATATCATTTTGGTTTCTAATGAATGTGTATTGTGATGTGTTATAGTAACTTTTGCAAGGGAAAAAAAATAGAAGGTTCTGAATGTGATTGAAGTTTGTTTCTTTATTGCAGTATCGACTTGTTACCAGTCCTTCCTTAAGGAAGTACTGAAATATACAGAAGAAATTTTTCAGGATAGTTTGGTATCGTAATACAATCTTTTTTTAGCCGTAATGGATGTCCGATCCAATGTTCGGCTTATTTCCTACTCACAAGAGATTGTAGATGGAAAGCCAATCCTTGTGTCTTCGAATTCTCTTCCTATCAAGCCTTTGAGATTTGAACCAGCTGGGCATTCCTTCCATCGTGCTGCACTTAGACTTGTTGGTCACGTGGAGGAAGTCATCGATGATGGAGATCAGAAAGTGGCTGATGACAAGGAACAAAGTTACGTGCCATCTTCTGATTCATACAGCAGTAAAAGTAAAAAGAAATCAGGTGCTGAGGGCAAGCAGCAAGATCATTATGCATTGTTGGGTTTGGCCCATTTAAGATATCTTGCTACTGAGGAACAGATAAGAAAAAGCTATCGTGAGGTTGCCTTGAAGTATCATCCTGACAAGCAGGCTGCTCTTCTCCTTGCTGAGGAAACTGAAGCTGCCAAACAGGCAAAGAAGGATGAGATAGAGAGCCATTTCAAGGCCATACAAGAAGCATATGAAGCGTTAATCGATCCCGTGAAAAGAAGAATTTATGATTCCACTGATGAGTTTGATGATGAGATTCCAACCGACTGTGCCCCACAAGACTTTTTCAAGGTGTTTGGTCCAGCTTTTATGAGGAATGGAAGGTGGTCGGTTGCCCAACCAGTCCCATCTTTAGGAGATGATAGTACCTCAATTGCCGAAGTAGATAGCTTTTATAACTTTTGGTACACTTTTAAAAGCTGGAGAGAGTTCCCACATGCTGATGAGTTTGATCTTGAGCAAGCTGAATCTCGTGACCATAAGAGGTGGATGGAGAGGCAGAATGCAAAACTTTCAGAAAAGGCTAGGAAGGAAGAATATGCAAGGATCCGTTCTCTTGTTGACAACACCTATAAAAGAGACCCCAGGATTTTGAGAAGAAAGGAAGAGGAGAAAGCTGAGAAGCAGAAGAAAAGGGAGGCCAAGTATCTTGCAAAGAAATTGCAAGAGGAAGAAGCAGCCAGGGCTGCTGAAGAGGAGAGGCGCCGAAAAGAGGAGGAAGAAAAAAGAGCTGCAGAAGCAGCCTTACAGCAGAAGAAGGTGAAAGAGAAGGAGAAGAAACTCTTGCGCAAAGAGCGGACTCGCCTCCGAACACTTTCGAACCCCGCTGTATCGCATAAGTTGCTGAATATTTCCGCAGATGACGTGGAAAGTCTTTGCATGGAACTTAACACCGAGCAGCTGAGGAATATATGCGACAAGATGGAGGGCAAAGGAGGGATGGAGATAGCAGAAGTTCTCAGAGATGCACGTGGATATAGTGGTAATTCAGAGACTAAGAAAGAAGACGAGAAGAAAACTCCATTGCAGAATGGTTCTGTAGAGACTAATGGAAGTGTCTCATTTAGCAGCTTTGAGAAGAAAGAAAAACCTTGGGGCAGAGAAGAAATTGAGCTTTTGAGAAAAGGAATGCAGAAATACCCCAAAGGAACATCTCGGAGGTGGGAAGTTATATCTGAATACATTGGTACTGGGAGATCTGTGGAAGAAATTCTGAAGGCAACCAAAACAGTGCTCCTACAAAAGCCTGATTCCAACAAAGCTTTTGATTCATTTCTTGAAAAGAGGAAGCCTGCCCCGACTATTGCATCTCCACTTACAACTAGGGAGGAACTCGAAGGGGTATCGACCCCTCAGATGCCTGAAAACGGTGCTTCACAGACAGATACTTCACAAGATTCATCAAACAGGAACACGAACACAAACAAGCAGAATCCTAGTGATTCGAATGCTGCAAATGGGGTTTCATCTAGTTCAGATCATGACGTGTGGTCCGTTGTACAAGAAAGAGCCCTGGTTCAGGCTCTTAAAACTTTTCCAAAGGAGACAAATCAGCGGTGGGAGCGAGTCGCTACAGCAGTTCCTGGGAAGACGGTGAATCAATGCAAGAAAAAATTTGCATCGATGAAGGAGAACTTCAGAAGCAAGAAAAGTGCTGTCTAGTTTTGTTGGGGTTGCCTGCCTGCCTCTGATGATGCAAGAAATTAGACAGATGTTGCTCCGAGGATTTTGGTATTATCCGTCTCTTTTATATATCTCATTCTTTGAAGCTTGGGTTCTTCATTCAAGCCATATATTATCTAAAGTTCAAAGAGTAGTAGTTACTCCGGTTTCTGCCATCTCGATTTTTGACATAATTCCGTACCGGTTTTTACAGCTAATTTGGAAGAGTGAACATCTACATGGTATTGTTTCCAAATATGCTTCATATTGTATCGGGTTATTTGCATTGTACTGAGGAATATGATGGTCTCAGTCAGTCCATTATGAAATGAGAGAGACGTTATTGATATTCATATATCAGTTTATGGTCGTTCTAGGAATAGAGGCCTAGTGAGATTTACTCTTAATTTTATTTTCAAAGTATTGTACTTATGAGCAGTTTTTAATTTTATAGTTACAACAGAGTTGAATATCACCTTTATGTCCCTATTGGAAATTTTCTTTTCTAAAATCTGCAATATTACAATTCTTTTCTTTCAGCAGTAAAGTTATACACTTATTCACCTATTGTAATATCCTTTACAAAGTAGTAGTCAGATAGGATTTTAAAGCTTGGATAATCAGAAGATATTTCTAACATGGTAACATCAAATTCTCATCAGAACAGATAATAGCAATCCTTTTTTTTTTTTCCCCCTTCTATTTCTGACCATCATATTATTGTTATTTCGTAGACAGTTAATTGCAATCAACCAAATTTCTTTTATAGTGGCCTTCCGGCCAAAAATCGGCTGTAAAGATCAAATGCCTCTCGCGGCTTGTATTCTGGAACAGTATGTCCGGATCCCTGCACCAGATCAACAAACAAAAAAAACTCTTTAATCTCAGCCAAAAGAAAAAATAATAATAATAAATCACTTAAAAGAAAAGTAAATTAATTATTAGAATAATACAAATTATGAATAAAGTACAGATCATAGAAGCATTTTCAAGCAACCAAGTACCTTAACGGTTAGAAATGTGAGGTTATGTTCATACCCTTGAGTATACCTGCAACCAATAATTAAGAGATAATTAACATAAAGGTTAATGGGTTTTCCTATAATACTCATGAAACTAAAGGCCCGTTTAGTTCGTTAATTTGAGTTTTTAATTCGAGTTGAGATGCGATTTTATGTGAATTTTTTATTGTAATAAAAAAGTTAGATGTGATTGTTTCTGAGAGTTTTTTACTGTAGCAAAACTTAAATTTTAAACTCGAATCGGTGAAATGAACGGAAGATAGAGTATTTTTCATAATTCAAAGTTTTTGTATTGAATTTTACAGAAATAGTTTTAGAAGTTTTTTTTTTTCTTTTTCTTTTTCACTCCCAGGAAAAGGACAGGTTTACCCAGCGACTTGTCCATTGGAAAACCAAGGCCTCCACTCATCTACAATCTGATAATCCAATGATCTTGTCCACGCTTCACTCCCGGTGAATGGAACACACATATCATGATCACCACTGCCAACAAAATAGCATAGGAACGCTCATCAGTTATACCATCTCAAATGCAAAATGCCAATATCAATATTATATATTGATATAAAAGTGTGAAAATAACATATGTTCTTTCTATTTTATGCTCCAATACATAGTGCCATTCAAATGTTATATCTAATCTTTATCATCAATTTTATGCTTTGGAATTATGAAAAGAGAATTTTTATTTTTCAAAAATTTAAAAAAAAATGACAATACTGTAATTAAAGTAATAACGTTAACTCATTAACAAATAGATAATCAAATGCCAAAATTCAAATTTGCCACAACTATAACATATGCTAAACAGGACTAAAAATGCTTTTGTTACCCAAATGCTAAATTTTGGCATCGACATGTCACATGGAAATTCAACTTTGAATTGGAGATGCAATAACACATCAATTGATAAATAGTATATAGGCTTGGCCTAGGGGCTGATTATACTTTTGCCCCCAACAAAAATTTTCTTTGCAATTTTTCTTCTAGTTCCCCACCCGACCAAATTTCTAATTACAATATGTACATATTACACCCCAAGTTTGACACTTTTAATATACTCAAATTTCAAACTCGAAACCTCAGAAAAATAAAAATCAAGTACACTACTATACAAATTCATAATTTGTTGGACTGGTTAACTTGACAAAACAAAAAATAAAAATAAAAATAAAAACACTCTATTAAAGCTTAGTTCATCTTCATTTGGAGGGAAAAAAAAAAGAAATATACTAAAGATTAAAAAATTATTGCGTTGTGATTTTAGTTCAAAATTTCGGTATATAATTCATGCCCCTTGGGAAAGAAAAAAGGAAAAAAAAAAAAAAAATCCTAACTCGCCACTGCCCATACCACACTAAATGCTGGTATTTATTTATAATTTTTTTTTTTTTGTGGCACAGAGAAAGTCCTCACTGAAAGGCTCTTGTACAAGATGGCATTAGGCCTTGGCCGTTTACCTGTATATGAGCGCTCGATATCCTCTGGAGGTGATGTTTCTGTGGTACGGAATCATACTTCCAGAATCATGATAATAAGTAATTCTACCTGTACACAACTCCCAACTACCCACCAAACTTTCCTGTTTATGTAACAATGATAAGATTACTGCTTTGACAGCCAAAACAGTTTGAGATTCTGGTTTAAGGTTTTCTATAAGAAACTACCTCTGCTACATGAAGTGCTTTCCTGACCGTTTCATCGTTCAACCATGTCGTTGCAACCTCGTCGTCCTACAAAAGATTGAAATTAATTTTTGGAAGCATATGTAGTTGTTACAATAGTCTTTTAACATTATGCAAATGAATTTGGTCAGACTAGGACATGCTTTCACTTGGCCTGTTCAGCTGGAGAAAACCGATGAAATTGACGGGGGAGAAAGGAATTCGAAGCATTCGAAAGCGAACGAAACTTACAGTGCAAGGAACAGAATTGCTATTAAGAAGCTGTGGCCACGTGGGAACAATTCCTTCTCTAACAGGAGCTCTAAGAGGCCAAGCGCGACCAAACATCCTTGTTCTTACAGCAAGAGGCCTTTCGGTTTCCCCTAACTGTCGGAAACTGGCTGGCATTTTAGATTTAGTAGTCGTAATGTCCCTTGGCTCGGGGCTGTGATAACATGGCTCCAGAATGTCGTATATGTTCAATCCATCTATGTCCTGAAAGAAAATTGATTTGAATCTTCCTTAAGTACTAAACTAATCTTATCAAATTCTTCTATTTCACTTTCGTAACAATAAATTGTTACCTCATCAACTTTTGCAAGCTTGGTGGCACAACTAGCGTTGAGAGAATTATGATAGTTTCCTCCACACTCAATTTTAACCTCCTAATAGCACAAGCAACATGGATTTATCAGATATATTTATGGATTAAAAACAAGAAGTTCAGAAAGAGTTTCTGAGAATTCCAAATGTCACATGAGAGGGACCCACCTGAAACAACTCATCTGATATAAGTCCCATTCCATGCACAAATGGAACAAGAGCATTGTCATCAAACTCTTCATCTGTTACTCCATTTCCTACAAGGTAGCCCTATAACGTACTGACTTTAGATTAAAGCAATGTGTTTGAAATTTAAAACTTATACATAAATAAATAACTGCAGATGCATACCTTAAGGTTAATTATAGGTTTTGTACCTGCATCAATTCCTGTTACAGATCGAAAGCTGCAGTTTTAGCTTATATTTCAAATCAAGTCAAGGATCAGTACTTTACTTTGTTATTAATGTTTCATTGTGGATGAAATACCTTTCACTACTTCATAAGTAAGAGTTGGCACATAAACTCCAGCAAATGACTCTCCAGCAATGAAAAATGGATTGGAGAGAAATTCGGGATAGAGTTCAAACCACTGGTTTCAAACCAAGAATTTGCAGATAAATTAGCATTATTGGAGACAAGGAGAACTAGTAATTCATCTAAAATTATCCAACTTTTTGGAGCTATTCAGTACCTTTAGAAGAAATGTGTGACTATCGGACGCAGTTTTTCGATCTCCGGTTGTATAGTCAGAATGGTTTTTAGAGTAAGAGCACCCAACACCAGCAGGAGAATCCAGATATATGATGTTGGAAACCTGAAAGTGACCCGTAATTGTAAATACAGTGATCCTAAACCTACATATTAAACTCTGCTGTTACACTAAGTAACAGTTAAAAGAACATTAATAATAAACACAAAAGTTTCAACCTTTGACCAGCTGTATTGATTAAGGTGCAGTTGAGGAAGGCTTCCCTTTGTTTTTGCTTTTTCAAAATTAAATGGTCCTGAGAAACAGGACAGAACCAGTTTCATAAAATTAACAAATTATCTTAGCAAAACAAAAAAAACAAAAAACAAAAAACAAATTAAATAGTCAATACACTAGTACCCAGTTAATTGAAAAGCAGAAAAGGTATTCAATACAAGAGCATCCCACCTGAAAATTACCCATTATCCGGATCTAGTTTCTCAAAAAAAAAAAAAAGAAGGAAAACAAAAAACAAAAAACAAATTAAATAAAGAAAAAAAAAATACCATGCTCGTAAATAAAGCCATCAAAGCTGGAACAACCCGGTCCACCATTAAGCCAAAGAACAACCGGATCTTCAGATGGCTTCCTCTCAGATTCAACAAAATAGTAGAACAGATTCCTCCCATGGTTTTGGTCAACTGTCACATACCTTCAAACAGATCCAACAAAACAACAACAATTAAAACAGCCATTAATATCAGAAGAAGAAGAAGAAGACCCAGTAATTGAAAAAGAAAAAAGTAAACAATTTTCAAAACTGCATAAACAATGACAAAATATAAGCAATACCCAGAATAGTGTTTGGAAGGAAAAGTGCCCGAGAATCCAGGAATCTGAGTGATTAAAGCATCATCAGGAGCTGATTGTGCTGGTACAAGGCTTTTAATTAAGCAAGCCAAAAATACTAGTACTACCCTGTAGATGATTAGGCTTGTCCCATCCATGGCCTATTCTATCCGAGTGACTATGATAAGTACTGCTTTGGAGAGAAAAGTAATCTTTATGCTAGAAACTAAAGAAGGGACTTTTATGTGTATATGATGTGATTTTATTTGAACCAAAGAAGTAGGTGTATTTATGGTAAGCAAATTGCCGCTGGTATTTGCTTTCAAGTCAAGATAAACTGAAAGTGGGACTGAGGGATTAGATAACATAGGCCCGTTCATTTCGCTGATTCGAATTGAGATGTGATTTTATGTGAGAATTTTTTACTGTAATAAAAAAATTAGATGTAATTGTTTGTGAGAGCTTTTTACTATAAAAAAACTCAAATTCTAAACTCGAATCGTCGAAGTGAACGGGGCATAACAAAAACTAGTGCACACAAGTTGATTTGTGGAGGCAAACAAGCTCGTCACTCTATGGTCTTCCAAGGCCCAATAGTTAAGTGACACGTCTACAGTCTAGTCCCTAAGTTACTGAAAGAAATGTACTAGAGACAAATATCACAGACACCCACAAGGTGTTTATTTGATAAGATGGTTGCGCTTACAAGTTCTCTCTGTCTTTTCTACAGGAAAAAAAAAATGAGGAGATTTTTATAGGGCATCCTTGCTGCGCGGTAAGAACCTCTATTAATTATTGTGATTTTTACAGAGATTTGATCAAAATTATATTAAAATAAATATATATATAATTTATAGATTTGATAAAAATATGACAATTTAAACTGATATTCTATTTATCAGATTTTTTTTTCATACCCTAGAACATAACATTATTAATAAAGAAAGAAAAAATGGCTTTTCCTTTTTCACGTTAATTCTTAACCTCTACGTCTGCGTGGGAAAGAGAGATGGGCACATAAATTTGATGGCGTTTCTACTGAGGATGTCATCTAAAAATGACCTCTTGCGTAACAGATGGAGAATAAGAATGTTATTGGAGTGACTTGAGAAAAGAAAACTTAAGTTAGTAATGATAAGAGCCAAGAGTTAGGAAAGAGCCAAGAGTAACAGTAACGAATGATTACTTAAGTTAGTAATAATAAGAGTTTTGTGATTTTGTACTCAATGTGTTGACTGGAGAATTTACTTTACGGAGAAAAAAGCGATTGAGCAGTTTTAGCTTTACGTGAAAGGATGCGGTTAGTTTACACATGAATGTGAACTTCACCAAATATAGACAGAGAATCATGAATATTGGAGAAATAATAGATCAAAAGAGTTATTAGAATTCCACATTAGTTGGAGATATTGGCATGATTCACTTAATAAAGTAAGGATAATCCTCTCTTAATAAGCTGATTTTGTTAGGTTGAGTTAGGCCCAATATCCTTTGATTTCTGTAAAATGATATCAGAGCAGACACAGTTTTGCAATGTTAGGTCCCCCAATATCAACTTATTCGCAACGGTTTGACATGGTTCACGCTGTGCGTGAGGGAGCGTATTAGAATCCCACATTGGCTGGAGATATTGACATGATCCACTTAATAAGGTGAGGACAATTCTCCCCTAATAAGTCAGTTTTGTTAGGTTGAGTTATGCCTAATATCCTTTGATTTCTGTAGAAAGAGTCGAGGAAACTTCTCAAGGCTCAAATTCTTCCTTTTGAGGGAAACGTGATTAATCAAGTATTCAAGTTTTGTGATCTTATCAGGAAAAAAAAATCCAATTGAAAAGCACCCACATTTTGTCGTTTTGTTGATAACTATTGATTATATCAGGCCTGGTCCAGACCCAACTATGACGTTAGCGACGTTATTGGGCTCGCTTCGTGAACTCAAGTCAGGCTCAGAAAACTCTCGTGGGTTATGATTTGGTGGGCCATATGTGATCAAGTATGCTCGTTTGTTGTTTAATTCGATCCAATTTGAATCATACTTGGGGTTTTTTAGAATTAATTGGATTAAATACAAATAGGTGGTGGAGAATTCTCAAACAGCCTTCCTCCCGTCCTTTTGGAAGCCCAAAATTCCTAAGTCCAAGCCTTCTAACATCCTCTTCTTCGTTAAGGTTAATTCTCAGTGTTTTGACTCCAACGGAGGCTCTACCCGCGCCAGACATGCCTAATGAAGGCTCTCTCTATGGCAGGGGCATCTCTTGGAGCATCCTCTTCACATCTAAGTGTGCCTAACGGAGCTTTTTTCGTGTCAGACATCCTTCTTTTGTACTTCTTCTCGCTTAGTTCACCATCAGAGCAACCTTCGCTTGGAGCACGCTCACCCTTCGGAGCAACTTCCCCCGTAGCAACCTTCGTCTGGAGCATGCTTACCGTTAGAGCAGCTTCATTCGGAGCAACTCTCATGCAGAGCCAACTTAACGCCTGCTTAGCCAATTTCATATAAACCATCTCTAACAAGGTCTGACATGCGATCAGACCTCCGAAAGAGGAAGTCAAAGGAGCACGAAGTTGACTCAAACACTCTTGAGAATTTTAGACCTTGTAACTCTTCACATCAGCTTCAAATGCGGACATTTGCCTCTAAGTCTTTCCATTTTCAGATCTTTTCTTTGTTAATCCGGAAAGTCACCTGGTCGCTTTGCTCCAAAGGGAATTGCATGTGCAGGTATCCATCAGAGTGTTGTCAATTGGTTCAGAGCAGCCACCACGAACCTTTCTTTCCATTTCCAAGCCAACTCTTTTTCAACCCCGGAAAGGCTTCTGATGACTTTGCTCCATTTGGATCGCGTATGCATGCTTCTTTCAAAGCGTCGCCGATTCACTCATGGAGTAAGTTTCCATAAGTCTTCATTCAATTTTCGGCTAATCTCCTCTTCTACTCCGGAAATGTGTCAAAGGGCTTTGCTCCATCGAGATTACTTGTGCAGGCGTCCGTCAGAGCACGCCATACGAACCTCCAGAGCTGCCGCCAAAATCCTACTAATTTCACCTATAAATACACCTCATCTCCTTCATTTCGAGGGTGAATCCATCATCATCATCAACCACTATCTTCATCCTCTTTAGATTACTTTCTCTCTCTCTCTCCCTTCCTTCAGACTTCTCTAGTCTCTTGCTACAGAGACTTGAGGTTCTTCAAGCTCTTCAAAGTCCTTCAAAGTCCCCAAGTTTGACAGCCTTGAAAACTTTTCCAAAACATTTTTCGATCAATTTCCACTACCATCTTAAAACTTTTTGAAGTTTCTTCATACATTTTTCAGAAACATCAAAGTCTTCATCTTTGGGGTCACTTCTGCTCACTGTTAGAGCAAGTGCTCCGAGCGCCATACTCATTTCTAGAGCAACACGCGCCACTCTTAGAGTTCTTTTCACCATAGCCTTATCCACCTTACCAACTTCACTTTCACTCTCCTCTAAGCCTTATCCACCACTCGAGTCACCATCTTCGCTCTTGGGGCAGCCCACGCTTGTCTCCAGAGCACTGCTCTATCAAGGCACATTCAGCTTCCTTTTCTCCATCTCCATCAACTATTTGGTCGCACCTCCCACCATTCTTCATCTCCGGAGTTCTTTTGTTTGTTTTTGAGGATTCTCTAACATATTTTGCAAGACATTTTCGTCATTTCGGCAACAAAAGAGGGTCCTAGGACACGTGTTCTTCAACTTAATTTGGGCCTAACTTACCCCTCTTCTTCGTCGGAGGTCCTACCATCCTCATTCACATCTAAGCTTAGTCACGTCGGATCTGTTTCTGACAAACTGTGTGCTTACGCATGTCAATCTCTAATACGTCGATCTTCTAAATCTACCGGACGTGGCAATTACTTTGTTTTATTTTGATGAGTGTTGAAACTTTTTAATAAATAATTGAAGATGATTATTTTGGACCCTTCACTATTATGACATCATCATTACCGATTTATATCAAATATAAAACAGATTCCTTCATCAGAGCTTTGACATTTGAAGGCATTTGTTTATAATTAAAGGTGTCAATTTCAAGGACTTCTTTTTGTTTCTTTTCTTGAATGTGCGACATTTTTAGGACCCAGCTAAAAGTGATTAGGAGAGAAAGTAGGAAACTTTGGGTAACAGGTTAGCCAATAATTTGATGGTATAATGTATCTAAAATATAGAGGGCGCGTTTAAAACTCATTTTAAAATAATTTTATTTTTTGTATGAAAATAAAAATAAAAATATTTTTAATTTCAGACATAAATTATTTTTAAAAATGCGTTTAATAGTTTTATTAATAAATTATTTTTAGTGTAAAAAAACTTATTAATGTCTTTCTTTCTCTCAAAGAGGACAAAACGAAAACAAAAAATGAAAAACGACTAAAAGTCATTTTTCTTTAGTCGTTTTTTATTTCTCTCTTATTTTACAGTAAACAAAAAAATCGTTTTCATTTTCATTTTTTGTTTTTATTGCGTCAAACGCCGTTTTGAAAACGTTTTTATTTTTTCTTTTTCAAAAAACATAAAAAATAAAAAAGAAATCAATTCCA